GACGAGGTTGGATGGGTCGTTCTTGGGCATAAGGCGGGAAGGCGTGAGAGTCTTGGGGGAGTCGGTGATGGGGTGCTGGGCTAGCATGGCATCGTTGGACAACTCGAGCTTGAGGCGAGAGCCTCCCCTCCGCGGCAGGGTGCCATATCTGTTCTGGGCGACGGCAGCATCATCGCCGGTTAGGTCGATCGGGTTTTCCTTGCGGACGGGCGATTGAGGCAGGTATTGTGCGGACAGGGTGCGTTGATGAGTTGGCCGTTGAACCGACAAGCCCGAGCTGCTTACAGTTCGTTGCTGGGGCGGTCGCGGCTGGACGCCCATTGGGGTCCGAGAGGTCATCGCAAGCGGAAGTTCCGAGGCGACATTGCTGGGTTCTCAAGGGATGTTACGGTGCGGTTGGCAATCGTGAGAGAGAGAGGGGGGGGGAGTGGACTGCGATGTCGTGATGTCCAGCGGGTTTGACGATGCTTTGGGGGGGGGACGGGAGGTTAGGGATGGAAGGGGAACAAACTGGTGGATGGATTGATGTCGGGGATCTGACGGCGCCAGCCGCGCTATCTGTGCAGAAGTCGGGTGGAGAGAGTGCGGTTTGTGGATTACGGTTTACGGTTCAGAAGGGGTCGGTAATAGTACAGGGACCCTAGGGTAGGTAGTTGGTGACTAAGGCACCCTACCTGGGTAACACGCAACAAGGTTACAAGAGTGCGCGCGGGTAATCGTTGGTAGGTACCATCAGATACAGATACGGGGGGGGGGCGGTGTATCTCCGAAGGTTCCCGCGGCTGCCAGGTTCGCTGGTGTCAGATGACTCGCGACGGCCCGCTTGAAATTGCTGCAGCGACTTTTGCAAGACGGGTTTCCGGTCGCTTGACAGCCCAGAGAATGGGGTGAAAGGGAGAATGTGATTGAGAGGGAGGGTGAGAGTGAGAGAGGCAGACACACAAGGGTGCAGGTGGAGTTCAGCGCAGTAGTAGGTTGTCGGGAGACCCAAAGGCGACGGCGCAGAGTAAGCGTGTCTTGGCTGAGTTCAGCCCGGTAGAAGATGGGCCCGAATCCAGGCAAGGACTGGTGGATGGAGAATGGTACGGGTAATAGTGTCGACTAGAAATGGGAAAGGGAAAGCCAAAGCTCGTGGGAGGGCGGCGGCGGGAGAAGGGTGTGTGAGGGCGCCTCTAGGGGGGGGGGGACGTGGGAATCGTGTGATTTGACCGAGTGCGTGTCTGAATACGGTGTATCCGTACTACATAGGAACCGAGGAGATCTGCGGTTCCGTAGAGTGGAACATATTTCCTGCCTGGGTTCCCACCGACTGTACTCTCTCAGTATGGGCGTATCACAGTCTAGCGGTAGTACTCCGTAGATGGGAGAGCAAACACTTTCTCTTGGCACTACGAGGATTGGCTTGGGGATTTCTCCGAGTGGGGGCAAATTCACGGACTGCGTCCAAGTCGATATACCTAGCCAGTTGGGTACTCCGGAGTTGTACGTACCCAGTAAGATAATAGTGTAGGCAAACGCAGGGACTCTGTTTCTCCGTATCCAGCTCGACGGGCCAGTTACCTACGCCCGAATCGACAAGGTAAATAAATGATGGTCACCGGTTGCACGCTTCACCACGATCCAAGCCACAACCGACCAGCAAGCATGACTACTGTGTACGTGGTAAACATGTCGGTCTACCTAGGGAGCAGAGAGCACGAGCCGGGCGTTCCTTCGATTATTGCGACAACTTCCTACGTTAATGGCAATGCGGCAAGATATTGAAAAGGTTTCACCCAGACGTACAATAGACTAAAGGTGCTGAGACAGGCTAGATAAGAATCGGGGATGGAGATCGCAAGCCTGCGAACAAATTGTCAGCGTCCGGGGAAGCCATATCCACTGGCCGCCTTCCCCCTCCCCGGTCTCGTCTGCTCGTGTCGTTTCTTTTTGTAGTTCAGAGTCAAACACGGCCGGCGGGCAGGAGCTTCCCAGCGGCAGAGAAAGGCAAAAAAGAAAAAAGAAGGTCCGCACAGGGAATACATCTTTTGAGATACGATGTACTGCCTTATTTAGTATATTCATTTACCCATAGTTTAACTAAGTTTATCGTCCCAGAGCCCCCTCTTGGCCAGCACACACATAGGCACGTTACAACTTACCGGTGCGGAACAGATCACGCAACCCAAACCTTCTGACAACTGATGATGGCGACGATCTAAGATAGGGTCCGCTGATGGAGTGCCCGGAGACACCTTCCCCTCCCAGCAAAGAAGAAGAAGGAAGGAAAGCAGGACAAGCCAGCCAGCCATCTGCTCCCATCCCATCCTATCGCCCGGCCTGGCCTGGCATGGCCTGCACAAATACAGATAGGTACCTAGGTAGGTAGGTATGTACCTTGGCCTGTCCGTCCAATCGTGCCGGCCCCCCGCCTCTTTAGCTTCCATCTGCATCGTAACTGCCACTTTCAGATCTCTGCGCCTGCCCGCCAGCCCTCCCCGAAAGAAGGCGCCACCGCCGCCTCATCGCCCGTCCATATTATTGACGCTTTCCGTTTCCTGCTGCTAGCATGCTGCAAGCTTCTTCCTGCTGTGCCTCTTGTTTTGTGTGTTGCATCCGGTTTGCCTCCTCTCCTACAAACCTCGTGTGTTTTGAGTCGTCCCCCGTCCCATCAGCCCGTTCCTCCCGAACAGGCGGATATATGCATGCACGCATGCAGGATGAAGACGGCACCGTGTCCGAACCGTAGACCATTGGCGGCAGAAAAGACCGGCCTTGCATTTTCCGCGTTTCGTCCAGACTTTCCACGGGCGATCAAAGCTATCTACCTAGCTTATTCTTTCTCTCTCTCGCTCTCCCCCCTTTGATTCATTGCCCTTCTCCGCGCATCGAGATCACTCACTACACTCCGTATGGTTCGACGAGTAGGTTGCTCTATCGCGCACGGCTTACACCTCGCGATACCCGCCTCTCTTCGCTTCTCCAGATTCGGAAAAGTTTGTCCACCTCTACCTCTGGCGAACCAAAAACGTGCCGCCATGGGCCTCCTCAGTCGTTGAAGCCCCCCTCCTTGTCTCTCGATGGCTGAATCGTGACCCATGTGTGTCACGCAATCTGCCATCATACTGCATGCAGTCCCACCGCCAATCAGTGCAACAAGGTTGGCATGCAGTCTGACGAAAATCGCCGCCGAGCATTTCGTTGGTTACGCACCAGGAACGCACCATGGCGATATCATGGCCAATCGGTGATCCCTAGCCCCAGCTGACACGAATAGCCTCTCGTGATACCCATCACCCACGCGAGACACTTGCCGCCGAGGCGTCTTGCTACGCCTGACTGCGCCTGACTTTGAGTTGGGCGCGCTGCTCTGCTGGTACCCATAGGGGGGGTGTCTTCCAAATAGAGAGAGGTCCACGATGGTATTCCCTATGGAAAAGGCCTTTCTCGGGCTTTCCCTCTGGTCCTGGCCGTGTCTTCCTCCCATACGAGTGTCTACGTCTCGGGAGCATATCGCCGTTGGGTCCCTCACCCGCCAAACGTGCCTGTGCACTGCTACCTACGTATACACAGTCGTGGGCTCGTTCGGTTCGTTCGGTTCGCTGGAATTAGGCCCGGTTGGCTGTGCCTATACTCCGTAGTCCGCGCACTATTGCCCGTACACTACCTCAGGTAGCTGCTGCCCACCAGGGTTGCGCGACACGTCGGACGACCACACGGCATATCCAGCCTCCAGGCCTGTTGCTGCATCCCCCGATAAATGCCCGGCTTCAGGACCCTGCTGCGACGCAGGCACGCCTGGGGGGTTTCTAGTGTGGGGGGAATGGCTGTACCTACACATACGGTACCTACACATGTAGGGTTGCTGTGCCTGCAGAACGACTGGGCCTGCTTGTCCTCGCTCGCGGCCGCATCTGTGTGTGGCCCGCAGGGCGACGAGAGTTTCCGTGTCGGTCCAGATGGTGGAACATGGCAAGGAGCAGGGAGCATCGCGTCAAAGGCTGCTACTGGGACCGAGAAGGACTGCCACGGAGGTGATGCCGGACCGAGCAGCAATCTGCGGAGAGCTCCCCTTGCCCCGGCGGCCAAATACCCTGGAGATGAAAACAAGTTGACGGGGCTGCCCCGCAGACCCGGCTCTCAGGGAGTCAGAGTTAACTGCCCGAGAGTTTTAAACATTCGAAAAGGGGGACTGCCGCCAAGCCATCCTCCTCTGCATCGAAAAAGCACTGCACTACACTAGGTATGGTACTATATTCCGCCTACCTCTTGGGTGACGTCTTGCTTCTCCAACTAGCTATGTAGCCGCGGCTGCGCATCGAACCTGGAAATCGCCTCCGTACTCTAGGTATTCCACCATGTATTACTGGTCGAGCATGGCGAAACTGTCCCGCCGGGACGAACGCCATGGCTAGGATGAACCCCGTTCAAGGCCTCCCTCACCCCTCCCCGCACTGGGCAGCCGGCGCTCCCGTTCGAGTCTCAGGTCCTACATGTTCTTCTTTTTTTTCTCTCTTCTTCTCGGTATCGGAACCCGCGTCTCTCTCGGAAAGTGAGCGATCCAGCAGCTGTGCACGCACTAGGTACCTGTAGGTAGGTAGGCACGTAGGTAGGTACTGGGTAATGGGCTCGAGCGTGAGCACATGAGCGTGCTGCAAGTCTACGGTCCGAAGGTATGTGGGCAAAATTATCAGTATGTAGATTGGATCGGTTCGTGGGGCGGGTCGGAGGGGCCGCTGTGCGGTTAGCGTGGAATCGCACACACCCCCGGGCGTACCCGCGTTATATGGAAAACGTGTCTTTGCTTCTGGCAGCGGGGGCATCGGCGCCGAATTCCCCTTCCCCCCCAGCTCTAGCTCCTGGTCGTCTGTGGAGGCCTCAGATCCAAGGCCCCAACGTTTGTAATTGCGCCGTCACTGGGGAGAGCTTCGTTCGCGTTCGTGCAGCCAGATGGTCGAGATCCAATACCTCCCTCCACCTGCCCTCGCAAGCCCACCGACACCACATCACCAACCCTCACAATGGCGTCCAAGCGGGATATGCGCCGGCCGGACCTGAGTATGTTGCGATCCGTCCCCAATTCACCATGCCAAACCTGCTAACTGAGCACCCCTCTCGCAGTCGTCCCCTATCAGGAGCCCAGGGCCAAGGGCGATACCACTGATATGTCCTCGACGCTTTCCTCCACCCTGCCAATGGCCGCCATGCTGACGCGCAACAAGTTCATCGGATGGTACGCACTTCCGGCTCTCATATTCCACCCCCCCTTTTGAATCGATTGCTCTGTTGCTCCCGCCACGGATTGCGGCGAGCTGCGGCACGGAACGATCGGCCCCCGGAACCCGAATCGCTCACTAACGGGACCAACACAGGGCTTCCGTTGTCTTCAGCATCCAGACCTGGCTCGGCGAGAGCGAGGAGACCAAGAAGAGCTCCGCGACCCCGGGCTACTTCTCCGTCGGCATGTCCAGTATGTCCTACCTCACATGTCTCGATACATGTTTTATTTTTTTTTCCCTTTCTTTTTTTTGATACACAACTGACAAAGAGACACAAGTCATGGCCCTGGCCGTCACCTACCTGCCCCTTTTCCTGCCACCTCCCGTCCAGAGAGGCGCCGCGACCGGCACCGGCCCTGCTGCCCCCGTTCCTCCCGCGTAGACGTGAAACCTTGGCGGAGAGAGTTGAACGAGGTGGTGTTGAGGACTATGGTACGGGAGTCACACGACCCTGTGCGGATCGAAGACAAGAGAAAACACCATTGTAGGAGCGTCTCGGAGCGATTGACGAGTCAATGATAGCGTTAAGGGAAGGAGGGCAAGGGAGGGCCATCCGCCATGATGATGGGCCGGGAGGCAATAGGGTGTGGGTAAAACAAGAAGCTGGTGGGAATTTGTAATATAATACCTCGGAACCTTGAAAGCCTGGCCGTGTGTAATTGCATGTCTGTTGAAAAACTCAGAAATTTTAATAGCGTTTGGCAATAACACTTCTTCGCGCCTTTATCAGAATGTCTCGAAACATGCCGTCAGCGGTAGACGGACAACGCCCCTTCCGGTGGCGCAGGGATTTGTGCAGCAGCCTCCAAGGAATGGTGATAAGTGTCGTCATCTGGGCCGGCCAATGAACCGGCTTCCTGGTTTCCGGGGGGGTGGTGGTCGCCAACCACGACCTCACGAACCACAAACTTGTAATCGACGACCGGCTTAGAGTGCAATATCAGATATCACCGAGTACGCTATTGTGGGATTTTCTTGTTTTTATATATTTTTCGCAGTTCCTGTATTAGGCTTTGCAGAATCTGGCCCTACCGTGAAAGGTGAATCGGACAACCGGGGCTTGGGAGGGGGAGATGGCTGCGACCGCGATAGACGAGGCCTCAATCCTCGCCAGATTCGATGAGCTCGTCAGCGACGGCGTGGTGATGTACGCCGAGGACATGGAGAAGGTCTACTACGAGGACCAGGGCTTCAAGGTAACCCCAACCCCCCCCCTTCCCCTCTGGCTCTCGGAGTTGGCTGCAGCTCTTCTCCCATGGTGCCACACATGTGTGATGCGGAACACGGAACGACCTAGAAAAAAAGAAGAAAACGCCGCTGAAACTGGAACTGACAAGATTTCCAGTTCGAGTTCCGCATCACGTCGGCCCTGGAAAGCAAGCCCGCCGCCGTGGGAGACAACGCGGAGTTGGACGACGCCAACGGCGGGGCCGACGGGGGCACCCACCACACGTCGTCCGAAACCAAGGTGCCCGGTGTGGGCAATGGCAGCGCCGACGCCAGCAGCAGCAGCAGCAGCAACGGAACACCGCGCGGCATAGAGCTCGACGCGGGCGGCTGCGTGCCCGGGGGCGACATCAGCATCGCGGGGTACGAGATCGGCCTCGTGGGCGGCGGCGCGCACGTCCTCTCGTTCAACAAGTTCTGCGCGTACCGCCCGCACCTGATGCTCGTGACGGCCGACGGGCGGCGGCGCCAGTTCGAGGCGTTGGACGACGCAGACTTTGGGGCCGCGCGGGAGGTCCTGATGGGGCTGCATCGCCGCGGCGGCGGCGGTGGTGGCGTTAGGCAGGAGTATCTCGTCATCTTCAACTGCGGCAAAAAGGGAGGATGCAGCAGGCTCCATAAGCACATGCAGGTGATCCCCGCGCCCGACGCCATCCCGTCGTGGCCCGACGAGGCCGGGCCGGAGGGGGCCTCCGGAGGGAGACCGGGCCCGCCGTTTCGGTACTTCATGCACCGGTTCGCCGGGTCTCTGAACGGCGGCAGTGGCGGCAGTGGCGGCGGCGGCGGCGAGGCTGGGGAGCTGCCGTCTGCGGACGAGCTGGTCAGGGCCTACCGACGGATGCTCCGGCAAGCGGCGGCGCTGGTTCCCGGGCGGGAGGGGGCCGTGGAGGAGAGCGGGGCTGGGGGCGGCAGGGAGGCGGCGGTGCCACACAACGTCTTGCTGGGCGGGAGGTGGATGGTGGTCATCCCGAGGGTGACGGACGGGGTCGGCGAGGCCGGCGTGAACGCGGCGGGGATGCTGGGCGTCGTCTGGGCCGCGGGGGCGGAGACGGTCGACAAGTGGAAGAGGCTGGGGCCGAGGCGGGTGTTGAGTGAGGTTGGCGTTCGGGGATGACGAAGAGACGGGGGGGGGGGGAGGGGGTGCGGTTCAGCTTCCGCGACGAGCTTTTGGTAAAGAAAAAGGGCGGATCACAATAGAGGCGTGAAAGGGTTTACTGTAGGAGCAAAGAGGGAGGAGGAAAGGTGACAAGGCTCCCGAAAGAAACGGTTCAACATAGATTTAGAGTCTGGCGGCTCAGAAGACATACACGAATATAAAAGGGGTGGTGGAACGGACGAATATCTTGATGTCAGCCAGACACGTGTGAAAAGACACATGCATTCATTTCCGAGCATGCAGTCAGTCTCTCTGCTCCACTTGGATTCTGACAACAGAGGCAACGCCCAGTCAACAGAACCTGCTCTTGGAAACAAACTGTCTCCCTATGCAGCGGCGTGAAGCGCAAGCCCTTCTCCCCATAATGCGTGTCTCTCCCCGAGACTTGACGGGCGCCGAGATCGACCAACCGAAAGCCGGGCTGGGCCGTAGTTGCGGAATCATACCCGCCACTTTCCCGACCCGGTCGTGTCCTCCTTGGGGGCGTCTCCAGGCAGTCGCACTCGATGAGCCGTGCCAGTGACGAAGTCTATTGCTGTCTTCATCCACAGTCCGCCGTCAAAACGCCGTCATCCGGTGAGATAGCTCAAGCAGCGGTATACCGGGGCCCTGAGCCCCTCCCCCGGTACTGCGCACACCCCCCGAAGACCCTTGACATCGTCATTTTGTCGCTGAAAGACTGAAGTGATGGCTTCTCATCGGTATTTAGTCGTGGATTGCCACTGTGATGCTCATGTTCATCGACGGAAGGGGCACGGGGGGCTCCATGATTGCTACGCTGCCAGATCAACTTGAGTTTGTGTTTCAATAGCCAGCTACATGACGAGGATGGCTGTCTAAGTAAGTCTTGTGAGACTGATGGCCGCCTGACCTGAAGGCAAGACCCCCCCCCTCTCCTCTCCTCGTTAGTGGATCGGAAGTCCGGGCCCTCCGCGGCTGGGGCGCCTACGACCCGATCGTCAGCCACGAGGGCGTCGGCGTCGTGGTCGGGCTGGGTGACGACACCCCCGGGTCCCTCCTGGACCAGCGGGTCGGGGTCAAGTGGCTGTACCGCGCCTGCGGCGCGTGCTCCGTATGCGCGCGCGGATTCCCCAACAACTGCCCGGGGCAGCTGAACACGGGCAAGCACCGGCCCGGGACGCTGTAGCGTTACGTCGTCGCCGACGCGCGGTACCTGACGCGGATACCGCGGGGGCTCGGCGACGAGGAGGCCGCGCCGCTGCTTTGCGCGGGCCTCACGATGATGGGCGCCGTCTCGATGCTGGACGGCGACCTGTCCCGCGGCGACTGGGTCGTCATCCAAGGCGCGGGCGGAGGGCTCGGCCACCTCGGGGTCCAGATCGCGTCCAGGATGAAGGGTCTCCGCGTCATCGCGGTGGACGCTGGGCATGAGAAGCGGATGCTGGCCGAGTCCTCGGGGGCAGAGGTGTACATCGACTACGCGACCGACGATGTGGAGAAGGCGGCGACGGAGTTGACCGGCGAGGGCGCCCACGCCGTGATCGTAGTGCCCGGGTCCGAAGAAGCCTACCGCACCGCGCCCAAGCTGGCCAGGCCCATGGCGACGGTCGTCTGCGTCGGTTTGCCGCACAACGATTTCCAGCTCCCAATCTCGGTCACCCAATCCGCCCTCAAAGGTATGTGTTCGCGTTGCGCAGGCGTCGTCTTGATGGCTCGGAAGCTAATGCTGGATACGCAAGCGTTGACAATCAAAGGTGCCATGGTTGGCACGGAGGAGCAAATGACCGAGCTGCTTCAAGAAGCGAAGAAAGGAACTTATCAGAGCGGTTGTGGAGCCGTATGGTTTCGCCGATGTTCCGGATATCATGGCCCGGCTCTCAAGGGAAGAGATATCTGTAAGAGCTGTTGTGAGTTGTTGAGATGCATGGGACATGGGTTTCAATTTGTGTCTTTCGTTCCAGTTGCCCATCCCTATGTCATTCAATCCGACGCAAAGCGGTATCCTCTCAGGTCTAAAGAGAACTCTACATGGGAACAGATTCAGCGTCATTTGTGATTGCAGAATTGAACCGGAAGACGATAATCCTGCTCAAGGCAATCCGGTCATCACTATCGAGAGAACAAAAGGATTCGGCAGCAGTTTCTGGAGTCTAGTACTTTATGTCCGCCAAGGCTTCAGCATGAACGAGGAGAGACGTATGGACGACAAGAAGACAGCAAGAATCGTTGCGGAAACAGGGCGGGATATGAAATCAAAGCCTTTCAGACTTGGGTCGAGAACGCCCAGCCAAATTTGCTGGAGCCCTCTGTGATACCCCGATTAGGCAACCAGCTGTCTCAGTCCCAGTGGCACAGCTTATTCGCACTTCCGACCTTGCCACAAGAGACACGGCCGAGCTGTGAGACAGCCAAGCCGGTGCCGATCCCGCGACACCGATATAAGCACCGAGACGGACGGAAGGGTTTAGCTTGCGCCCTGCTTGCGAGACACCCAAGCCCCCACCGTTGCAACAAGCTAATTCGACGAGTCTTGTCACTGGGATGGGCGGTGGCGGCAACGGTCGCGCCTCTCTTGGCTATAGTTCCAGATGGAGCAAACAAAAGCGAGACCTCTCCGCCATGCCACGTTCAGACGTGCCGGACACACCGGAGACCGATGGCATCGGCTAACGGACCAGAGGAGAGTTCTAGCGATATAACAACAGGGCTGTTGTTGGCCGACAACAGCCCAAGCCTCCGAAGGACATACCGCACAGAACAAGCCGAGAAGGTTTAGACGTCTCCAAAGCCATGCTAAACGACCAACCGCAACTTCGAGCGCAGGGCAGGGCAACAAGCGAAACACCTCGCTAGAGTGCGGAAGAAGAGATGTGCCTGCAGAGCTGACTGAGACCAGGCTCGGGAGCTTAAATTACTATATGGCGGCACAAACGCTCAAGGGTGCACTGAATGTACCTTTGTCGACCACGGCTGCAGGGGTGCATGAACCCTTTTGTGTAACGTACTGTTTTTGGTCTGTGACTACTGCACTGTGTGCCTTGAGGGTGGATGTTTGTCGAAACATTACCAACTGGGTAGCCAAGGGCACCATGTCTTGTCATTCGGTGAAGTGGATTAGAAAATATGCATAAAACAAAAGGGAAATAAAAACAATTGTCTTGATGAGCGTAAAGTCTGTCAAAGCCAAGGCAGATTGGACGAACGAGGAGGGTCACTGCTATTGGTCTCGGCCCATGCATAGTGAAGGCTGGCGCAAGTTGACTTCAGCTGGCTGCACGATAAATCCAAAAAAGCGAAGTCAAAGAGAGAGAGACCGACTTGGATACTTCGTACGTACCTTAGCCTGGTGATTCCGCCTTAGGGCTGGACACTAGCGCTGAGAGAATACGACAATGGCCAGGGTCTCGGAATGTGCCGCCGAGCAATAAATGAGCCACGCACGGTATGGGTGGGAACAGTACGGATAGATGAGGCAGACTTGCGTCTTGGTGGGCATTTTAATCCCGGCCCCATCATACCCTGCGCAAGGCATCCGGGTGGGCGAGCGAAGAAGGAGCATGGTCGCCGAATGGAGAGAAGCCGTAAGCGTATCCGTCAACTCTCGTTTCGCTCATTTGCGGTGAATCAGCAATGGATGTCAGGCTGGGGGTGGAAAATTGGCATCTCTTTCCCCACCGAATACTTCATCCCAGGGAAGATCTGGGTTGGCTGGAGATCCAGTCTTCTGTTGAGGTGAACCAAGGTCGCTGGACTGCACCGCGGTAGAAATGACGCAGACAGATTCGGTGATCCAAAAGTCCCATCCGTTTCTTCTCTCCTTCTTTTCCTTCTTTTCCTCCTCTCATGAGCACGCCGCCTACGCTAGTTCGAGGAGCTTGCGCAGTAGGGGCGGATGGAGGCTGGGCCAAGCCACAGCACAGCGGCTCCACGGAGAAGGAAACACCATGCTGGTGACGTAGTGCATCGAGCGTCGAACCGCCCAAGGGCGGGCGAATGTCGTCGTAATGCTCTTTTCCAAAGCGGACAGCCAGTAAGAGGACGGGCTAGGCCGATGGTGGGCCGGCCCTCGCGTGTGTTGGACAAATGTCTTGGTATCTTGGAGGGCGGCAATGGGTTGGGTGACGTTGACTGGTGAGAGACTGTGATACCTAGTCACCAAGAGAGGCTGCCCGGGCCGTTCGATGGGCCGGTCGTCTGAAGGTCTGAAGAGGCACGGCCCAAACCGTGTCAACCACGGGCATGGGACGGTCACAAGGTTGTCAAATGCCTTGCATTTCTGGTTAGTCATATCGACGAACCCAACCCAGGCGGTCCATCGCTGGTGCCGAGAATCCGATAACTTCGCTCCCTTGGGAGGCTGTGCACAGCCGTTATTTCCGTTGCCACGTCGCTGCGCTGCTTGGATAGCCGACGTTTCCAGTCAAGCGCACCGCAGGGGTCCGCTTCGTCGACTGCGTTGATTCTTTAACATAGGCAGGCAGGAGACGATGTCATGGTATTCGAACATTAGGAGCACGAAGTAGGTGTGTGTGCGGTTGGTCCTAAAACACAGTGCAAGCTCAAGTGACAGATGCCTTCGAATATGCTGACGGAAATGCCATCCGCCTCATCCTGGTCTTCAGCTGACGAGTTAGGTACGTACACGACTAAGTATTCGTACAGAGGTACCTAGGTACCTGGTGCCTAGAGGTGTCTCAATGCTTTTGCGGGGATGCTGGAAGTGAATCAGGTACGTATCTCCTATACAGAGTACTCCTACCCCTTTTCGGGTGTCCGAAAAGGATTCATGCTGGGAAAGCGTAGTAAAACGGAACAGCAAGATATTCAGGAACTGGGCGCTTCTCTTTGGCCCCCATTGTCCTGCTTCTCTGTCCAATTAGTGGGGTTTTTTTTTTCTTTCTTTTCTTTTTCGACCCAGATCCCCGTTGACCCTCAGGAGGCAGTGGCTGCTGTGGGCGTCATAATCATGGTGGTATTACGGATAGTGATGCCTCTCTCTCTGAGGACGACCCTACTGAACTGAGTGAGCCTCGCTGGGCTCAGCCCCAAGGAGAGGTCCTTCCCGACAGGACCAGCTCAGCTTCGATGCGTTTCCGTGTATCTTTTCGCCGTAGCTGTGTGCAAAGAGTACCTGCGGCCGTCATAACTAGTGTACACTAGCAACAGCGCCCACACCGTGCGCTGCAGTGTCACCTTCCCAGCTTCCCACGCCTTCCTTCGTTCCCACGCTTCCTTCCGGCTTCTCCATAATTAACCCAATCAAGTGAGGTCACCAACCACTGTCTCCCGGTTGCTGCCCCTTTAGTGCGTATTCTCGGTGATGATGCTGCTGCTGCTGCAGGCTGCCTAATGCTAGACTCTCCTTGTCGGCCGACTCTCTCTCTCTCTCTCTCTCTCTCTCTCACTCTCTCACAACATCCACCTCTCTTCCCATTCACGCTACGGGTCTGGGCGACCATTTTGCCAAGGCACCACCACAGTCTCTTTAAAAGCATTGCCATCCCACTCTTTTTACTTGGACGTGCCCAGCTGTCTCTGTGGCCCTCCCCTCCGTCTCCAGTTTGTACTTTGGCCTTGTTCTGTCGATTTTGGTTCTGGGCTCGGGATTTCGCGCTTGCATTTTCGACGACGACAACTTTTGGACGATTAGACACTATCAACACAACACTGCCACCACCCGCATACCCAGACCCCCAACCCCAGTATTACTACCCCCCGAACATCGTCATGGCTACCCGCTGGCTACCTCTTACTGCCCTGGCGGTGGGCGTTTCCGCAGTTTCTGTTCGCCGCGAACAGACGGACTCGACTCCCGGCGTCATTTCGCTCCCTGTTTACCAGGACATTCGAATTCACCCTTTGGAGAAGTTGAGGAGACGAGAAGTTGAGGACACCGATGCTCCGGTATATAATGTGACGTCGACAACATACCTGATTGAGCGTATGTGCTTACAGTGTGCATAATGGCCTATCCCGCGTAGCTAATTCGCCTCTACAGTCAGCATCGGCACTCCCGGTCAAGACACCAAGGTTGCCATTGATACCGGGTCCTCGGAGCTTTGGGTCAACCCCACCTGCGCTAACGCGGGCACCACCGCCATGGTTCAGTCTTGCAGAGCCAATGGCCAGTACGATCCCCGAGACTCGTCAACGTCGGTCGTTTATGTCGACCAAGGCAACATCACGTACGGCAAGGGAACGGTCGAACTGCAATATGTCAGCGATAACATCACCATTCCCGGCAGTGGTATGTACTGCTCCGTCTTGGCTCCAAAGTAACGATGACTGACCAAGCTTCGTAGACATCTCACTTTCAGACACAATCTTTGGCTACGGCATCTACAGTGCTGATCTGAGTAGGGGCATTCTTGGTTTGAGCTTTGGCGAGGCTACCAACACCACTGACTACCCAACGGTGCTCGACACGATGAAGGCACAGAATGTTATCGAGTCGCTCACGGTGGGAATTGCTCTCGGAACTAAGGAGGAGAAGACGGGCAGCGGCCTCATTTCATTTGGTGGTGTGGACACCAAGAAGTTCAGTGGCAACCTGCACTCTGCGCCCGTTCTCGGGCCCCAGAACGGCGAGGACCTGCGTAGGTAAGTGACTTGTGGTCCCGGCCGTCACGTTGGCACGTCTAACCTCACTCCCAGATACTGGGTTCAACTCGACTCGGTTGGTCTGAGCAAATCCGGCAGGAGTACCAAGACATATGCCAACACCCAGTTTCCGGTATTCTTCGACACTGGCGCCACCTTGAGCTACTTCCCCCCTGCCCTCGTCGACCAGCTTGGAAGTGATTTGGGAGGCCGCCTCGAGTCCTCCATTAACATGTATCTCGTGCCGTGCAACACCAAAGGCACAATCAACTTCAAGTTTGGCGACTACACAATGAAGGTGCCCCTGTCTGAGTTCATCTGGCAAGTGGGTGACAACAGTTGCGTACTCGGCGCCGACAAGGCTTCCGACAATGCTTACATCCTTGGCGATTCGTTCCTCCGTTCCGCATATGTCGTTTTCGACCAGGAGACACCCGCTCTGCACTTTGCTCCCTACGTCAACTGCGGCTCCAACCTGCAAAAGATCCCCCTCGGCAGCAATGCGGCTGCCAAGTTCACCGGCGAGTGCCAGGCCAGCTCCAACGACGGCAGCGGCAGCGGCAGCGGAGGGAGTGATAATGAGAATGTTGCCGGTCGAGCGACACCTGTTGGCATTTGGATGGTAGCTGGTGCTCTGCTAGCTGTGCAAGTGTTCATGTCTTTTCTTTAATTCGCGTACATAATTGCACGGCTGCGGATCATTGAATGCATCGGGCGTTGGGATGGAATCGACATGGCTGCTGCATCGAGCGGGTAGAAGAGGACGAGCTGGGCTGATTGCTTTATACCCTATTCCCTGGCCCTGGGACAACATATCTTCCTGTTATTGATTAATGAATATGCAGAGCTTAGACATGGCCCTGCATTTTCCTTCGCTTGATTCCTTTCTGCCTATTTGTGAATGGTTTGCAAGTGTGTTGACATGCATTCCCCATGGGTTGAACCAATAACTTTTTGACTACTTGGGTTGGATCTCTCCTACATGCCACAATCTCCTAGGATCTATCCGCCTGAGCCTCAAGTCTGCTTTGCCGTGCTTCGCTGCCGTGCGTGCTTTGCCGCTGCGCTAGGTTCATCATGGCCAAGAAGCAAAACACATCCTTCTCGGTCATTCAAGTTCATCTAAATTGGGATGCACCAATGAGTGAGGTAAGAGGCCTTTGTGCTAGCTGTCTAAATTGTGGGCGAAGATGGATGACCACGAGAACGGGACAGGAACAAAACAGCAAGCGTGCCAAGGCTTCTTTCTCTATCTGACAGCATCCCAAGTTTTGGTGGAGATGGAGATGATGGCTGTTTCCTTTTCCACTGGTTCGTCCCAAGTCAAGCAGGCGGGCGGGATCTCAAGGTGGGACCCTGGTTGCATCCCGCTCTTTCCTGGCTAGAATGTGGCAGAAAGCTATTACCTATATCCGTACACACACACACACACACACACACACACAGAGTTCCATGGCAGTTTCCTTCCCACCTATGTGGTGGATGCCCTCACTTGCCTCGGCTAACGATGAATTCCAAAAGGAGTGCCTGGGAACTCAGTTCGCGAATCTTGTCCTTAACACCGTCCCTATCACCTTTCCCTGTATCAACGAGCCCTATAATCATCTTCATTGTCTGCCGCAATTATCCAATACTTCAAGTTGCAAGATACCTCGCCCTACCTGGATTATAGTCAACACTCAACTACCTATCATTAACCATCTAGTGCTCAACAACCATGATGCGTTCTACGTCCATTTTCACCACTATCATATGACTGCAGCTCCCGGTCTGGTTGTGGCGTCCGGATCTCTGGGCTTCGCCCTCGGTGCGAAGCAGCCAGACGGCCGCTGCAAGTATCAAGCAGACTATGAAGCGGACCTCAGAGCAAACTGTGATGCCTCGGGCAGCAACATTGTGCGTATATACGGAGCCGACCAGTGTAACACGGCCCAAGATATTCTACCTGCTGCAAAGAAGGACTTCGTGGTGATCCTGGGCATCCTGGGCATCTGGTAAGCCCAGGCCCATGTCCCATCCCCAATAAGCCTTTTCTCCCTCCGGCTCCGTCAAAGTTTAAGAGGAATACCGACTCATTCTAACTCGGACGGGAAGGAGGCCCGACACGGACAAGTCTTATGGGCTGCAATCCTTCGCCGCACCCCCGGCTACGAGGGTCAAGTGTATGCCGTCATCGTCGGCTCTGAATCTCTGTATCGCGGCATCGCGGCAATTTCACCGGCGTGGAGTTTGCAGCCAAGATCAGGCACGTGAAAAGGTCGGTGCCTCGATTTCAAGATCGGAACGGCGGACAGCTGGAATAAATACCAAGATGGTACGGCCGATGCTGTCATCGAGCAGGCCGATGTTCTTCTGGCCAACGCCTTCTCATACTGGCAAGGCCAGACCCGGGACAACGCCACTGCGTGCTTCTTCGAGTCCACCATGCAGGCGTTCGGGCGCATCCAGAGGGTCAGCGGGTCGACCAACAAGCCTGAGGTATGAGTAGGCGAGACTGATGAGTCGGTTGGACGTATCTTTGCGTCGCCATGCCCTGATCGTGTGTTCAAGTCGTACATGTCATCATCGTCCTTAACACAACGCACACCGTGCACTGCCACCTGACTTACCCAGGTGCCAGACCACCAAGGAAGGGATTGCTGACACGTTGGATTTGAGTTCAGGGTGGCTCAGCGATGGCGCAGAATACTAGAACGCCATGCCCGGACATGACAACGCTCAAGCTTTCTACAGCGACGGTGTCTGCGCAATGGTGAATTGGGGCTTCAACACCTTCTTCGAGGCGTTCGATGAGCCTTGGGAGCCTCACGTTATTGGCAAGGATGGCAGCGAGGCGCCCGAGACTCAATGGGGTGGAGTGAAGGCGGACCGCACGGCCAAGTATTCGGTCCTGTGTTGAGCCGACCTACAGCGAAGCCCACGCGAATGACGGGGCAATGCGATGAGAGGGTGGCGGACTCTAGATGGAGGCATTTCAGATGGCATGGACTGTTCCGCATCGTCTCCGCCTCGTGAGACTGATGACGAGATGCTTGGTAATGGAGGAGGGAACCAATTCAGGATTTACACTTTTTGTCCGCGTGCGGCTGTGAATGGAACGGCATCGATGCGCATTCCACGTCAAAAGTCCACGGCGATCGGAAGAGAGGCGTGCCTATTTTGGCCATCTGCGGAACGTCATCCCGCAGTTGACTCGTCTCGGGACCGAGAGACAGGCTAGTCCCAGGTTCCCAGGTTGGCTTCCAGGCATACATACACACGCACTCCAAGCCAAGCAAGCAAGCAAGCCTCTGGTGGGTTGGCGGACGTCCTTTGTGGTCGTCCAAGAGCGGGAGTGAGAAGGTGTGTGTCGGGTCGCTGGCGCGGATTGGCTCTGGGTGCCTACAGGGTTAAGGTTTTTGCGTTACAGGAAAAAAAGACAAGAAAGCCGGCCGTGGACCCACCTTCGTCCAGAGAAGATGGAACACGGCCAGGTCGGGACGAAACCGACACGGGGCCCGATGAGGAAAGGGACCAGCATTTCTGAGGCAGCTCGGGCGTCAGTGCGTCCAGGCACGCGGGAAACCCAAAACACGGACCCGTAGTAAGCGAGGGGAGTGCAAAGCGTATCGGGGCTTCAGCCTGGCCCATGGAGGCCGAGGACAAGCCACAAAAACCGTGTTTGATGGGCGCCATGGCTTGCACCGGCATGACTACGATCAAACACTACGGTTCAGTCCCGACTTGTTGGTGGAAAGGCGCACACGCAAGACATGCTTGCGACACAGGAAAGCAAGGGGTGAGGAAAGGGGGGTCATGTTCAATATCCATTTTCAATTCTTTTTGGTATCGAAAGTGAATAGTAGACGGGAAAATCTAGTTATATGGTAAAATATGAAAAATGTGAAGTGAAGTGCCAAGACCACATGCGCAGCCCATCGGACGTCCGTAGTGGGGGGGATGTTGATACTTGGATGCACATTAGTTTTGGGGGGGGGGGGGGTTCAGCAGCATGAAATGCTCCGCTGGAAAAAAGACAATAGTCGCTTGCTTAGCGCACCCCAAAGAGCACACACACACACACACAGTCTCTCTCTCTCTCTCTCGCTCCTCCATGGTATGAAAATGCTCAATGACAAAATGTGAAAAAGACAACCACTGATGCTGATGATGGTTGAGGCTTCGTGAGCCCGTCACTGAAGGCCGTAAGATTTCCTTTGTACAAGGACACATGAGTTGAACGCCACGCCACTCCCCTGCGGGTTGTGACGAGAGGGCTCCTCAATCATGTGTGACAAGAAGGTGATGTCGAAGAGATGGTCTGGTCTCTCGGAATCGTTGGGGCGAACGTCCAGACCTCTGTCACTAGTGAGATGAGGGTGCTGGCGTTGGATCGGCAGGCAAGGCGCCCCTGACGAGCTCCGGTCTGCCTCTCCTTCCTCATCTTTTCTTGCCCTTATCACGAAAGGGTGTTTTTCCCTACCGATTCTCTGCGTTTGACACATTTTATGTCCTCAAGGGTCTGAAAAGTTATGTCAGTAATGATATCGTTAGGAAGAAAAAATAAGATTGCGGAGACCTACGCGCAACCTTGGGGGGTAACGACTCCAAAGAAACAGTCTCCTGCAACCTTCTGCGCCGCGGGGACGACTTGGTCCTGGTGGACAGGGGTGATTACGACGCCGGCGCTGGCGAGCGAGGCGCAGAGCGTGGCCAGGAGCGTGAGTGAGACCTTCATCGTGATTTGTACCGGGGGGTTCGGAAGGATGTTGAAAGTGGCGGCTATTGGTGAGGCTGCCAGCAAATAGATGATGGTGATGGTCGGTTTGGTTTCCCCCCGCAATCTATTGTGGAGGACCGGTTCCTATTCTGTTTCTGAACAGATAGTTCAAGATGGGGTCGTCGCCCTCTTTCTTCCGGATCCCCCTCCAACGAGTGAAATTTGGTCAAAGTTCGCGATTCGCTTGCGTCGAGCTAGCGACGATGCCGTGGATGCGTTGAGACGAGGCGAGGATATGTACAGGATGTACGAGACGTGTACGCGTGGAAGAGCGTAATGTGGAAAGGGCTCTTGGGTTGTACAGACCAGCTGGAGGAGAACAAAAGATAAAAAAGCACGGGGCGGGCGCTCGATTGTAAATGAAGGATCGCCGTGAGAGGTGCAGGATGGCACGGGATTTGGGTGAGTGGTGAGGGAATGCGGACTGGAAGTTTAAAACAAAAAAAGATATAGAGAGAGAAGTGGATTAGGCTTTCGACGGGCTAGAAGGATGGTGTGTGGGAAGTGGAAGTGTTAAAAGAGTACGAGAGGGAGGCGTGCGTGCAGATCTCTCGGCGTGTGTGCGTCTACCGTGCGTTGGTTGGGGGGAGAACCGGATGATGTGGTTGGTTGACGATGCGAGGATGCGTGGTTACGCGGTGTTTTGGATAGCTGTGGGACGAGATCCAGGCAGATTACAAGAGAGAGGAGAAGGAGAGGGAAGGGAAAAAAGAGGGACGCGGGTTTGTGATATCGGACGATGATGGGCTGTGACGAAACTCGTCTCGACAGGGCTCAAAGTGGCATGTGGCAGGGGTGTATGGCTTGGAAGAGGAGCCGGGGGCTGTTGTTGAACAGGAGTCAACCACGAAGGAATGAATGCATGGTGATTTACGGATACTGTGCAGTGTCTGCAGGAAGTGTACGTTATATGCTTGCTTGCTCGCCTGCTTGCTAAAGCAGTTGCAGAAGTAAGCAAGGGAAGGGACAGCATGCTGTCCAGTATTGGTATCCGTACGGAGTACTGAGATACGAATGGTGTGCCTGCCAAGCCCGTACCCAGCAACTGAGTTTCCGGCTCTATTGGGCCATTGATGCGAAGCATTCTAGTTTGACAGGAAGGTGGCTGCCAGTCGCGGCGTGTCCAAAACTTGAGACCAGGGGGGATGGGATTACTCCCTCCCTTTTGGGGATTGGTGGCCGAGATGAGCTAGCTGGTAGAGTTTCAGGGTATGAAACTCATTGAGGCGGTGTACGCGGGCCATCGCCTGATATTGGCATGCGATGCAGACGAGCAGCGAGAGGGCTAGTGGGCGTGGTTCGAATCATTTCTTGGGGCGGTCGTGGTGGAGATTCGACGTCGATTTGGTCGAGATGGCGATTGACGGGGAAACGATGCCGTATCGGCATGGCCACGCCCGTACGAATTCTATCAGGAGGAAGTTGATAGGGAATATGTATTCCTACAAAGTACCTACTCCGTATCCGTTTTGTTGATTTTGTTTGAGAGAGAGAGAGAGAGAGAGATCGCGAGGGAAGGTGGCTTGCTCCCCCATCTCGAGGACACAGGCCGGGCCAAGGAATTAAGGTTGTAGGCATCGGTGGTAGCGCGCGTAGATGATTGGACAGGGGGCTCGGGTGCGGTACCTGGAGGCGAATGTCGATTGCTCCAGACGTTCTGGAATGAAGTGAAAAAGAACTGGGTCCCGAATAATCTGATGAGCAAGGCGTTTATAGTATTTCGCATCCCCTGACGATATCGAGAGATATGAAAATGGAATGGAAACAACTAGGTCTGTAGCACGCCGAAGAATAAAAAAAATAAAATAAAAAATAAAAAAACCACATTTCTTTCTTCTCGCAACTATGAAGCTGTGATTGGTTGTGGGCCAGACATGCAATACAGCCGCATTCACACACTAACACGCGCTTTCCCGCCATTCCCGCCATATAGTGGGACGGCCGTCTCGGAGTGGACCGAATATGCAACAGCGACAGGGGCCCCCCCGGTAGCTGATTGGCTCGGGGGCACAGTTGAGGGCAAGAGGGCTGCTTACCCATGTAGGTGCTGCGGCCAATCAGGTCGATCACAAGCAAGAGCGGGGCCTCTGAAGAAAGAATGAACGGGACAGGAACAGAGACAGGAGCAGAGGCAGGAATACCAGTAGAGGAAGGGACGGAAAACGACACAGAGGAAGGGACGGAGGGACTGAAGGAAGGGACGGAGCAGAAATTGCCAGTGCGCACCTACCGAAATTTGAACTGGTTTCTGTCAGCTTTGCATAGGTAACCAAGTTGCCCCTCTCCACCCCCGAGACAAACGATGGCAGGGAAATGCCCGGCCGGCACGACCTACCTCGAAGCACATGGCGCTACGAGGGCGCGTACCTGGCCGACGCAGGGGCTTCGCTGTCACCTTCAATGTTCGATCCCTCGCGCCTGCCACACCACCCCCACCACCACACACTCACACTTCATCATCGACCTTTTGAGCATCGAGGGATGTCGCTCGATGCATGGCATTCTGGCATCCCGTTCTGGTGACGCCACTGCATTGACGGCCATCGACCCACCCCGCCCGTCACGATTCATCAGCGGCATCCCTGGCAGTCATCTTGCCGAGTGCCCCCCTTTCCCCTTTATTCCTTCACTGTTCGTAGGGAAGCTCGACGCCTGTTACTAGGTACGTGGGTTTTTCTGGACAAAGAAGATCCGTTTGACCCCCAAATGGGGCTCAGGGGCTGACCATCGAGGGCTTAGGGGCCTCGAGACAGCGTCTTCTCCGCCTTCGGTATCATGACGAACCTTGTTGAGACGTGTGGGAACGGTATGGTAGTCAATATGAGGAGCCTCCCCATACCCAACCCAGCGTGCGTCACTCGCAAGTCGCTACTCTGTTGAGCACCACGATTGCCGCCACCTCCCCATCGTCCCGTTGACGTGATCCATTTGCTATCTCGAATCGGCGGGCGGACGACAGACATCCTTCTGGCCGGCAACTCTACCCGGGTCAACCTCCAACTCAACGGCTTGCTTAGTTAGCATCCTCCATGCGGCTCACACGCACGAGCCAGCATTGCTGGACTGACTCTTCAGGTCGTTCAGGTATACAACCAGCATCGCTAGGCGAGGGAGGACTTTCCCCTTGCCCTTTGCTGACAGTAATGCTGACTGACGCTCTTGCTTGCGGCTCTGCCGTCGTGCCGTTCTCGTCCGTACTCCGGAACTTGTTATCGTACCGATCGCCATCCTTCCACTGTCAACGTCCGTCTGCCCACCCGTTCTCTCTTCATCGAAGGTGCCTTGGCTGACAGTGGCTTGACTGACGGTGGCTTGACTGACGGTGGCTTGACTGACCCTCCCGGTACTGGCGGTCATGGATGTTGCCTTCAGCTCGGTGCTCGGTGCTCGTTGCGCTGATCTATCTTGATACGCGACCAAGAACAGATGGTGTCTGCTGCACGTCCCCCCCCCCCCCCCCCGCGCGAGTGCGCGGGGTGTTTTGTCTTGTCTTCGATTCCCAGGCCAACATTCTCCATGGAAATAGACATCTCTTCTCCGTGGTGGTTTCTCATCGGACAACATATCTCCCACACCACGCGACGCGAACCCCTTGGTCTTTTTGCTGGATGGTCTCTTGAGCCATGCCGGACGAGACTTGTATCGGTGTGTCGCGGCCGCCACGTTACAAGATGTATCTCAAGTAACACAGCTGGTCTCACGGCGCGAGTACCTAGACCGACCACAAGATCATTGTGTTCTAGTTTTCGGAAAATCAGCAGCCTCCCCGGACAATTGGCCGCGCACGCGCCAGCGCCAACGCTAGCGCCAGCGTCTGCCGTCTGCCGGCCCTCGAGACACAAATGTTTTTGTCATGCGTTGGTCTCTCGATCGCGCAAAGCAGCGTCATAAACTAGCGATGCTCGGGCCCGAGCTCGCTGGGGGGCGTGCCGGATTTTTCAAGCCGTTTTGTGATGAAAATATTATTTAGCTTCCAGTTGGGTTGGTCTAGGCTGTGGTCGAGTCATTGACACGCCCAATATAGTTTGGCGACGCTAGAATATCTGACCTTTGTCTATACAGTGAGGGGTCGAGGCTCAATCTCCTACGTACGACTCGCTCGCTACGGCACAGCCGAAATGGCAAGGTGGCCCGAGTTCGCCGATTGTCGTGAAGATCTGGTTTGCAAATCTCCCGCACGATGGAGTTTTGACTTTGCGCTGGCCCGTTCCCATGCTTCTTCGCGGACCTAACTGACCCTTGCTTTTTGCTCCTTCGTCAGCCTTGCGCGGTACGAGGGCATCGACGCCACGTTGCTAGAGTCATTGAATCCGGCGTGGCCCTGATATAGGACGTCCATGAATCGCGGCAGATAATCTCCTTGCACAATGAGGGGCAAGGGGGTTGGGCAGTATTCTCGAGCGTTTCTTGGGTTGCTGCGATGCCAGGACAACGGAGAGGTCTCGAGTCATGGCGTTATCTCGGCTGGACAGCTTGGCTGTTCGCAAAATTGAAGATTTCGTGAGCCTCTCTCGACACAACCCGGTTGCTGTGTGTGGTCCCCGCACGGCGCGCATTCCTTCCTGTCAAACGCATATTTCGGCCCGCCAACTTTGGGGCGATGATGTTCTCTTACGCTTCGGCGTAACTTCGTGAACGCCAGGCACTACGGGGTGCTCTGTAATCTAGTTTACCGCTCCTTCTTTCATGTCTGTTCGGTTCGTGGGCTGCGTATGCCACGACGGCTCTACCTAGTGACGCATCTCTGCACGTCTTCAACTGGGCCATCTCAGCCGCGTCTCTGGGACAAGATGATGAGAGAATCGGCCGTAATAACGTCCCGATCAGTTGAAAGACGCGACTTGTAGTCGTCACTTTAGATGCCTCTTCCCCTCCCCCTCCTCCTACCCGATCGCCACTAAAAGACGGGAAAGACTGCGTATGCGCAACAGCTGGCTTGTGGATATCCGAAAAATGCACTTGCTGCGGACAAGTAGTTCACGCTGCTGTTCTTTGGTCGGCGGCAAATAACCAGCCTCGGATTGAGGCATTCCGGTTTCTCACATCCGGGTACCTTCAGAGGTCATGCAAGTGATCTGTGACACTTGTCAACAGAGTGGAGAGCATAGTGAAGTCCGCTCAGGCAGAGTACAGCGTCCTAGTCTCTTGTGTATTATAAGTTGGGGGCTCCAGCTCCAGCTAGTCTTGGCCCTCTTGGTTTCCCTCGTCTGTCCTTGCTTGTCCTATCTCTCCTGTGTTACATTTTCCCTTTTACCCTCATATGCCATCTAGCTGAATTCCATCTGCGTGGACGCAATCTCAAGATCTTGCTAGCACAGTTCTGTTGACCCAAGTCTGTTGGTGGCTGACTTGCCATCTAGCTAACTGTTACGTTCTTAGAGGATGGAAACGACGGCTGTTCCGTACATCCTTCCTGTCATCTTGGGGCAGTTGCACCGTGGGTGTCTATTTTCTGCTGCAGAGGTGATACCGCCATATTTGACGTCTCAACGGTTCGGCAGACCTGCATGGCAATGCACCAATCGAGTAGAAACGTGAAGGGTTGTATGTCGAGGAAGAATACGATCGTATCAGCATTAGGACATGGGGTGCCTGGCAGTACAGAGGACATGATAGACCATTGTGGAATCGTTAGGAATAAGCAGCATTGTGAGGTGTCAAGACCATGGGTTTCATTGGCGTGTTTGTGATGAACCAAACATCTATACCGTGATGCGCGCAAGCAAATGATGATGATTTGGATCTGTCAACCAGCTAGGCATGTGGCCTTGCGAGACGCCACGCGAGCACCTACCTACGTCTTCTTGAATGTGGCTTCCTAAACACCATGGTGCGTCACATCGAGGAATTCACGCTTCGACCGGTAGGCTGTGACGGATCTTTTTGGTATAATCACCACATACCAAGGGTCTCTTCGTCGATACAATACAGAATCCCCAAAAGTAAAACTTTACCCAGAGCGGCCGTGTCAACGCAGAGCATTGGCTTTTTCTCTTTCTTTTTCTTTTTCTTTTCTTTTTCACTGGCAACAGACTGCATGTGCGTATACCATATGGCATATTACGTCTCAACAAGCGGCTGTCCAACCCATACAACCCCGCTTTCCTGCCGATGCCGAGCTAGGCTTGCTATCAGGCGAGGCAAGATACGATTCGTAGGTCTGTACACTACTAATGCGAGCATTCGACTTGAACCCGTCAACGGTATCGCCGGCGCTTGAGCCCCACAAGACTCGTCCGGGGGCGGGAAGCCGGAGCCATGGGTTTCTCCCGAACCGCCTTGTTTAGTCAGGTCTTGAGGTGGCGCGCAGCATTTTCTTCCCGGGGTGTATCGACCGGGCTTCGGCGGGACAACAGACCTGCCGGTGTTCGCGTCCTCCGCCGCCGGCACCCACTGCATGATGGCGCCTTACACCGAATCGTCTTGAAACTTTCTTCTTTCTTTAGTAGCTGATGGACGGGGAAGCATTTGTTGAAGCGGCTCCAGTTCGCTCGCTCTTCAGCGATTTGGAGAAAGAAAAAGAAATCAAGAGAAACAAAAAAGTCATCGTTTTCCCAAACGGCAACTGAGCGTGACGTATCGAGCCACCACGTCCTGGCAGGTCCGGGGACAGTTCCATTTCTGCTTTCGTACGGCCGGAATATGCGACGAGTAATTTGGCCTCGCTGTGAAGGACCGGGGGGGGGGGGGCTGCGAACCGAGATCGAGGTTAGAGGCTCGCGGTCTCCAGGATTTGATATTGCTCTTTATTTAGTAGTATATTTGTTATATAAACCGGATTTCAGGAACACCATCGTCAGGTTTGCGATGTTGATCGCCACGAAGGGATAATTTCTTTCTGGAAAAAGCCGCCGATAAATGACCCGGAAATCAACAGGCAGGTCGACTCTTCGCTTTTGATCCCGGGAGTACGCGTAGGTCCTCCAACGGCGATGGTCTTCCATGGCGGCCCCCAGAGAACGTCTTGGGGACGTTGTCGGGGAAACTATTGATCCGCATGAGATTCTCGCAGGGAACAGACACGGACAGGAAGGACCGCATACGTTGGACTCGTGTAGTAGAAGGCGATGTTCATTTCGGTTTTGATTTCAATTTCACTTTAATTTCATTTCAATTTCTTGTATATAAAGCAGGGCATCGCACACTCAAGCAGCGCAGGACACTCGGCATTACCAAGGACAGATATGCTGCGTTTGTCGAGTATCTTGATATCGCCCACTCAGCGTAGCAAAAAGTGTTGACTAGATCTAGGAGAAAGGCAGTCGCATAACACCCGCTCTGCAAAGAACCCAAATGTAGGAGACACGCATGCATACCGAATTAGACATTGCCGCCCCCTTTTCCCTCTTCCTTCTTCCCCCTTCCCTCGCTTCCCAATGGTCTATCGATTTGTATGCCCACTTGGTGAGAGAGACCTCCGGTTAGAATCGCGGCATTGAGTCATATATTATGCTGTTTCCGCTCGTCACCAAGCCTTACGCTCAACGCGGCGCAGCAGTGCGGAGGAGTATCTGCCCCTGCCCTCTCCGTCTCAGTCGACAGGCAGGGACCCAACCCTGTTCCTCGCCCACCCCAGCCAACAGCCCGGACGGCGTCCTCCCTGCCACGGGCCGGAAAAGCCGAAAAGAACCCCACAGGGACCACGGCGGCGCCGGCAGTTCCCAGTTCCCCCAGCTCGCCCCTCTGCTTTGCATTTTGATGCCCTCGCGTGCAAACATCCTCACGGTGAGAAAAAGATTGTGTCGCGAAGACGGTCACGCACGCCCGGTTGGTGTAACGGAAGGCCAAGGGAGGGTGCGCCGCAAGGTTAGGGGAAAAAAAAACACAAGAAACCAATGGTTTGAATGATGAGGAATTTCTCATTCGCAAAGACAAGCGGGTCCTATTACCCGTAATCCCGTAGAGGTGTTTCTCCGTGCGACTCGAGTCAGCAAGAATAAAAGACGAGCTATATTATATCCCCCTCCTTTCCCGATAAAAGAAGAAAGTAATAAAAAAATATTTGCCATCGTCATAGCCAAGCAATGGTGGGCAAGAACCCTCACGCGTGCGTGCATCAAACCCGTGCAGTCGTGGCCACGTTGAATGAAAAGATAAAAAACAAACGCCGAAAATGCAAGTCGTCATGATACATCCGCCTGTTCGTCCGCCTTCAATGCTTCCCGGTTTGCATGCCTTGCGTCTAGATCTCGTCAGCCCGCCTGTGCGCGTTCCTGGTCTCTTCTGGTAACCCTTTCTCGTCCGGACCACGACACGACGTGAGGCAGTGCTCATGTGAGTTGCACCCGCCTGACGTGGCCGCCGGCCCAGTAATGTCAATTGACTTCTCCGTGCCGGAGGAGGGAATTTTTCGTCCCTTTACGCCTCGTCGTCGTGCTTCGTATCGGGGCGCGGCGCGTATATGTGGAACTGTGTAAAGATGATGAAATCCTCGGCTATGGTGCCCAGCGACCCGAGCAGCCAGGGGAGCGCGTTGAGGAGGTAGGCCTTATCCTGCTTGAACGCGACCAGGCTGGCGCCGTAGGTGAGGTTTCCGGTGAGCGAGAGGAGGAAGAAGAGCAGCGCGAGACCTGAACGCCCACACGAGTTAGCAGGCGAACCCCCCCACAGACCCAATGGCAAAGCCCCCCTCCCCTTGGGAATCAATTCACGGATAGGAAAGGGATAACAGGGGAGAACTGACCTTCACAAGACTTCTCTTGGTAGTTCTTCACAATCTGTGGGATGCGCGCCGTGAGGTAGCACGCGGCGCTGAGGTACCCCAGCAGAAGGCCGACCTTCTCCATCGTGTCCGCCGCCTCCGCGGGCGAGCCGACGTCGGCGTCTGGCGAGTCCCACGCGCCCGCCTTGTAGGAGAGGAACCAGCCGGCGGCGCCGACGAGGTAGACGGCGACGATGCTCAGCGTGTTATGCAGCCACGGGTTACTGTCGGGCGTGTCATCCTCGCCCGTGACCATCTTGCGCAGCGGGTCGAGCGAGCTCTCCTCGTGCAGGCCCTGGCGGCGGTGCGAGCCGGGGAGGCCGGCGGCGGAGGAGCTGCGGCGGGAGCGGAGGAGGGGCTCGTCTTCGGTGGCCTCTGCGGGGGTGGCGGCCGAGGCGCGGGAGCGCGCGGCGCGGCGGGCGTTTTTAGTGTTGTAGTAGACGCACTGGCCGATGAGGACGAGGTCCGCGAAGCAAAAGTACGTCGCGAGGGCGACCGCCGTTGGGGCGAGGTGCGTGAAGAAGGCGCCTGCATGTGGGAGGTGAGCCAAAGCACGCGCCAGGTTGTTTTTGTGGTTGGTTTTAAGAAATTTTCAGCGCGAGGGGAGTGGTGGGGGGGATGGCTGCAAGGCGACAGAAAACATCACAGTAGTCAAAGCCACAGCAGAGCAAAGGACAAAAGAAAGGGAGGCGTAGAGCAGATGACGAGCGGCGGCGGAGGCGTTGCTTACCAAGGAGGTTGGTCACGTCGCCGATCAACCAGATAATCAGAAAGCCCATGGAGAGGCCATCAGCGCTTTGCGCCTTGTAGTTGGTGAGGAGCTGGGGGAGCTACACAAAAGTCCAAGTCAGTGAAGGAGTTTTCTAGCTTATGGGATACGCGAGGCTGGGGGATGGACGTACGAGAAGGCATATCCACGCCGTCAAGCTGATGCTGCCAAAGATACCAGACAGAACCTCCTCGACCTCTGGCGTGTGCGATAAGGCGGCGTAGGCCGTAACTGCGAAAGACGCCATGGTGTTTTGTTTCGTTCTATTTTTCCCCTCCGGAATGTCGTCAATTGGAAATAGAAGGGGAGGATTTGATGCAGAACGAAGGGAAGGGAAGGAAGGAGCCGCGGACGAAAGCCAGGTTCTCTCCTCTACCGTCTGCGTTTCTCGGTCAGGTGGGATGGGATATGGTGGTAGAGGTCGAGTCACGCAGCAAAAAAAACAACCAAGATGCGTATTCCGTACAGGGCAATGCGATAAGGAGGGCGAGAATATCCTGGCCAATCCGCGGCCACCATTTACGCTTTCCGGTCCTGTTATCTCTTATCGCTGACCGCATCCGATAAGCAGATCCCGCATGACATAACCGATGGGGCAGGAGGGGCTTGGCGATGGCCTGTGAGCGACGACGGCAGCGCCTCAGAGGGCAAATAGTGGGGATCCAACATGGATCGCCTCCAACAAAACCTGACAGAATGACGGGGCTTACCGCCTTTACAGAGTACCTACCTAAGATGGCACTCGGGGGACAAAAAAGACCGCCGGTTTCCCCCTACACAACAGCCACCCTCACCACCAGTACTACAGCTCCTGCAATAGGCAATGCAGCTTTTTACATGCTAAAAATATACATTTGTGAGGACTCCTAAGACGAGAAAGTCTTTAAAGTGTATAAAAGTATACATCCTACCTACTTTCTGGCATCTAAAAGCAATAGGGCCATAAGATAAGGTTCTTCAAAACCAGCGGTCTTTTTTGTCCCCCGAGTGGATGGTACCACATACAAGTACGTACTTCTGGAGGAGGGGGTTAGGGCTCGCCAATGAGAAGGCTGGCTTTGTCATCTGATGGATGCAAGTCCGATCCCGCTAGTGCAGAAAAAAAAAAAACAGAAGGACGCAATTCTGTAAAAGCTAAGGAAGGGGAGGAGGAGGAGGAGCTGAGCTTATGTAAACGCATCAAACACGCCTCAGCGAAGCAGCCGTTCGTTCCAACAAGCTTGCATATTGCGTATGATATGCATCGATGCATCGATGAACCGCCGGCTTGGTTCGTATGATGTAGACTGTAGTTTTCACACAAGCCGTCATCCAAAGTTTAGTGCATGATACCGTCATCCTTCTCCGATCATCACAAGGCCACGGAAAGTCTGTTCCCGTTGCATTCAGCAGGTCACCGGATATCCGCCACTCGTCAGCAATATTCAGCCGCGTTTCACGTGGACCCCACATCCCGCGCACCGCCATGATGCGTGTGGCTGAGCTGGTACAGGTGTGGATGGTGCATATGAAAGGGGGGCGGGCTCCGAGACGACTCCCCCCAAAGAGCTCGTTCCTCGGCCAACACACACCGGCCAGGGTCCAGCGCCAACGACCCGCACAGCGCTAGCCATCCGTCCGTATTGACATTGACACTGACGTTGACCTTGACGTGTGGCGGGCCTGCATCGCTCCCGTTCCCCCTCGCAGACCGGCGACCCGACGTGGCAACCACGTGTCGGGCTTCCATTTAAGCTCGTGCCTGTCCCGTTTCTCTGTTGTTTGGCCGTCGTCAGGCTTCTTAACGGCATCAGACTAGCAATCCGCAGCGATTAGTTTACACCTGTAGTTGTCTTCTAGTTTTCAAACACCCGTGATTCGAAGTGAGGGCTACCGCCATGAAATTCTCAAGCATCGTCGCGCTGCTCGGTGCACCTCTGCCCGGAGTCCTCGCATGGGGAAGTAAGTCACTCTGGTCCTGTGCTACGCGTCAGCGCTGAACCGGCCGCCGAGGAATCATACTGACTGCTCGTATCAAAAAGGTCTGGGACATATTGCGACGGCCTACCTCGCCAGCCACTTCGTCGCCAACGCGACCGAGGCCTTCTTCCAGGACCTCCTGCGAAATGACACCGAGCATTACTTGGCTGGCGTCGCGACCTGGGCCGACACGATCCGGTACACGAGATGGGGCCACTTCACAGGGCCTTTCCACTTCATTGACGCCCACGACAGCCCTCCCGGGTACTGCGACGTCGATCTCGAGCGGGACTGCAAGGCGCAGGGCTGCGTCGTTACGGCTCTCGCCAACTACACGGCGCGGTCACTCGACCCGACGCTGAGCGGCTGGGAGCGAAATCAGGCTGCGAGATTCGTCGTGCACTTCATCGGCGACATGCACCAACCTCTTCACAACGAAGACGTGGCCCGAGGAGGCAACGGCATCCATGTCAAGTGGCATGGCACCGACTTCAACCTACACCACGTGTGGGACAGCTCCATCGCCGAGAAGCTAATCGGGGGTTCTCGCCGGAGGCCGTACGACAATGCGAAGCGGTGGGCGGACCATCTGGCCGAGGAGATCGAGACGGGCAAGTTTGCTGAGCAAAAGGCCGAGTGGTTGAAGAGCCTAGACTTCAACAATGTCAACTCAACTGGCTTGCAGTGGGCGAAAGAAGGCAACGCGTTTGTGTGTACTCACGGTATGTTGATTCTCGAGCTGGGGCGGGTGCCGCCGCCCCCACTACACCTTTCTCCACAAACCGGCACCGCGACACTTACATAGTACCCGGCGAACTGACTTTCGTCCAGTGTTTCCGAAGGGGCCGCGCGCGATTGTCGGACAGGAGCTCGGCGGGGAGTATTTCGAAAAGGCGGCTCCGGTGATTGAGCTGCAGGTGGCCCGCGCAGGCGTCAGACTGGCTACTTGGTTAGATCTCATTGCGGCGGCTTACGAAAACCAGGCGAGAAAGGCGACTGTGGTGGCTATGGAAGAATTATAAGATATGAGACCGCCAAGCGCGTACTGCCTCTTGCAACCCCCGGCCTCCCGTAGGAGATCCTCGTTTATCCTGCTGGGCAAAACATGACGTGACGCAGTGAAAAAGCTTGGCGGATTTTCTGGCGGTCCCGTTTGTTTTTGTCGGGATTTCGAATCATGATCCATACCTACCTTTCAAAGTCCCGACTGATTACAGGCTTGGACGACCCATGGCGGCCAGCCAAGTTATCGTGAGGCTCTCCCAGTGACGCATGGTGAAAAAATAAAAAAATAAATAAAAAGCCATGACAACTGTCGAGCCACAACTAGCAGAGGCTTGCACCGCCAGGCCTTTTGGTTTCGAGGCTGTTCCGTTGTAGAGGTGTTGCGGATGAGGGCGATCACGCAGGGCGTGTCGTGGTCTTGGCCGGGCGCCGACCGATCGAAGCTTAACCTTCCATGATAATCAAACGTGACTGCATGGCAAAGCTGTTTCCCAGAGGTGCACTCGGCAATCGCTGGCTTGTGCGGCCGAAAAAAGTGGCGTGACTTGGACGACGTGCGATGGGGCTGGGTGGGGGGGGGGGAGTTGGGAAATCGGAATAGCGGCGTCTTGATAGTTCAGCCGCGACAGCGGAAGGGTAGCAATCAAGCCAGCATTAGGGATGATTGATGGGCGACGTCTGACAAGAAGATGGCGATTTGACAGCCAGTACCGGGGGGTCCGAGGGGATGGAGCAGGTGTAGAGATGGATGATTGGATGCCTTGCGGGAGCGCATGGCAACCGACCCAACGGGATTGGCACGGATTGTCTGTCTGCATCTCAAGTCTGCCTGCGACGACGGTGACGGTTAAGCTTACTGGGGGCATTTAGGCATACCAAGGTGCAAGGCAAACGAGCGCAGGTTGGTTGGTTTGGGGGGAGACAGCGGGGCAGGTGTTTGCCCCTCTGACGGTGGTCGAGTTTCAACTCTCCTTTCCGAGCTGGGATGGAACTTGGAAGGCAGGCAGGCAGGGAGAATTCGACGAAGGATGCCTGTAGTGTAGGAACGGGAGGCTGGGCCCGGGTGAGCACGAGTGACAAATGGAGCAAGGAAGGTGAACCTGTTTCACCATCAATTTTTTGGCACAGGCTTCAAACCCAGCCTCGCGTCGCAGAACGGAGCGCCGCCCCCCCCTTGGGCACCGGTACCTAGCGTCAGTAAACAGGATCGGGCAAGGAAGACAAACTCACCTTTCTCTTCCTCTTTCTGACAAGCCCTTAATTCGCTGTTCGGGGCTGGTGTAGCCACAGGGGAAACGGCCCGGTCACACGGTGTATGCGGGATCGCGGAAGTGATGAGACGAATATGGGGGATGTTTGCCGTGGTGCCGGGTCGTTGGAGACGAGATGTTAGTCTTGCCAGTCCGTCATTTTGCGATGGAGACAAGGCTTCAAGGGTTGGGCCGTAAATCCGTGCCGTAGGGGCCGACACCCATGTGTGCGTTGCCGAATCCATAGGTCCTGAAGACTCTCGGTGCCCGGCTGGAATGATCTTCCTCCCGAGCGCTGCACTTCTTAACACGAGGAAGGAGCGACGGATGAGAGCTCAACAATGGTATTAACTAGGTAGGTAGGTTGGTATCTACAAATATTCCGAGGTGGGTGTCTAGGTACTATGTAGTGTAGTGGAGTCCGGTTAGAGTATCCTAATAATTTTTCCTTTTTTTTAAAAAAGGAAGCTTCTCGACTTGAAGGCTTTGACATCAGAAAACCGGTAGTTGAGATGGGATGGCAGTATGGGATGAGAAGAGAAACTGCCATCCCATGAGACGAGCACCCTTCTTCTCGGCTTACCAAGGGTGGCCATGAGGTAGATCGGATTAACCTTTCTTGCTACGGCTCATGTCAAAAGAGACACGACGGCGAACGAAAGGTGGGGAGGGGGCAAGTTGTTGTTGCCAGAAGAGGCTGTTGAGGTGGCAGGCAGGTCCGACTCGCGAGAGAAGGAAGGTGACACGGCACACGGCGACCCGAGGCAACATGGAAGAGAGACTCGGAGTGACGCAGCGCCGTTGGCAGGAACTCGAAAGCCCAATAGGAGTCCCCTGCTCCTTCTTCCAGGGCCAAGGACAACCTTAAAAGCGGGCGAAAGTGCAAGAGGGGCTTTCGGCTTCCTATTTCGTCCACAGTGGTGGTGGGACACGGGGATCTCCACAGGCAGGTGCAACCTAGGCGCTGCAGGTACCGAGTGGAGATCACTCTTGGCACTCCAGGGATGGAACGGTACCCTACTTGGGTGGGTAATCTAATGTACCATACCTACCGGGTAACGAATACGTAGTACGGATGGATACCTAGGTAGTGATTTAGGTAGGTAGAAGCAGGCAGGTGCGAGGAGCTCAAAGGTGGGCCTAGACAGCCACCTACATAGTAGGTAGTCCGTACCAGCTCACAGTATCCGTAGGTACCTAGAAACGTACATCCCTCACCGCTCACTCTCGTGCTTTGCTGAGGTAAACCGTCCCCAAGGAAACCTCCCATCGCCTCCCAACACACACTCCCCAAGCCCTTCACGATCCCTCCTCACTGACACTCCCACCCCTGGCTGACGCGCGCGCGCCCCCTCCCCTCCCCCCTCTTCCTCTCAAACCACAGTAAACGCTGCCGCAACCGGACGTCTCCGTCTCAAGGGGGCCCCGGGGGTACCAAGGGCCTTACCGTCATCCGAAGTTGTCGTTTGAGAGATTAGGTTTTACTGGATGCTTGGAGCCGTCATTGTTCCAAGCTTGCAGGCTAATTACCTATCACAGAATCCTTTACATCGAATCCCGCCGTACGGAACTACCATGCATGCCCGGTCAAGCCAAATGAGCTAACCGACCCCAGTGCAGACGAGAAGCCAATACACACACCGCACGGTCACGTCCTTATCTGCAGGATGGAATCCATAGAGAATGGGTTTTTCTTCTTCGTTTTGTGGAACAGTACCTATCTGTACATGGTGGAGACGGTAATGCGTTGTTGCAGTGCGCCCACCGAATTTAGTCGAGCGCTACAGATATCAATGTGACATGACGGCTGGTGTTAGGATAACGGTGCGGCTAGCCGGCCGTTGCGCTCGCTAGCACGGCATGCCTTGCCCGTCTGGACGGATCGGCGCCAATCATTCCTTTGCCGCTTTCTCCCGATCAGGCCTGAGACCGCTCTGGTGTCGCCGGTATCCGCAGAGAGGACAAGGCCGGAAGCACAGCGCGGTTCGGAGATGGTGAGGCGGCGTCACCAATCACCAAGACAGAAGGATGGAAACGCCCAACCGTCGACGAAGATGACGATGTGGGTGTCGGCCCCAGAATCCGACGTGAAGCCGGGCGTTCCGAGGCAAATCATTGACAATCGCAAAAAAATGGCCAGCATGAGGTGCTAAAGTGATGGCGACTCAGGTGTCGACCGAATCTAGTCTGCAGTGCTCCGTATACTAGGTGTTCCTCTCTCTCTCTCTCAACTGGGGGCTGCGGCACAACGGCACAATGGCAAACTCGTCTACGATGATTCCTCAGCATCTTACAGGCTCTGTCAACCAAAGACGGCCCGCGAAAGGGGCGGTCACTCCACACTGATACAGGCATCGAGGAGCAAAGTGCATCTGGGAGAGAGATTGCGATGGAGCAGGGGAGGCATCTCTCAGCCTGTGTACGGATAACGGCGCACGAGAGGCGACGAAAGGTTAGGAGGACCCGCGCTTAACAAGACGGGGAAGACCCAAAATGTCGTCCAGTGCGTCTCGTTTCGCTTCATCGACACGTCCGGCGAAACGCTATTTGCATGATGTGCGTGAGACGAAGGCCTCCCATTGGCTCGCTAAGCCGCGCCGGGGCCCATGTGGGGACTACATGACCCCATTCTGCGACGACAGGAGCCGCATCGGACCCTGTGACGGCAGGGCCAGGAACCGGATGGGGGGGGGGGGGGGTTCTTGACAGCACTTTCTCCAACACCTAATCCCTACTCCTTCCTTCCCACCCCTGCCAATAGATACTCGGGTTCCTTTTTTTCCTTCTCTTTCTCTTCCTCCCTACCCCCCTGCCTGTCCCATGCATCAGAGATTGGACGAAGAGAGAGAGAGAGAGAGAGAGAGAGAGACAGACAGACGGAGAGAGAGAGAAAGAGACGGCCACACTGACGTTGGCCGAATCGCCCTGTTCGACTCAACTTGGCTAACATCACCTACCCACCTGCCATCTGGTTGAGACGGTCGGTTTCTGTCCGTCATCGACGGCCATTGTCCACGCGCCAACCTTTACCCCTGTTCGGACCGTAGGTTGAACGCACCCGGTTGTGCGCTGAAAGACCCCTGTAAAAGTATCTGATTTCAATTCCTTCTTCTTCCGTCTCCGCCAGAGGCACGTCTTGCCTCACCAGCTAACTGTCGCAAGCCATCTCATCTCATCAGACAGACAGATGCTACTCGTTTTCTACGCATGTTCTCGTGTGTACGGTCTCAAGCGTGTGTTCCTTCCCACCCCCCGGTCATGCACTCCCACGTCTCTCTCCTCCAAAGCGGGCCTGCCATTGTCCGCACACGGGGGTCGGATTCTGAGCAACGCTAATGTGCTCACACACCCACCCACCCTTGCCGTCAGTTTGAGCCACGCCTACACTACGTGCTGTGCAGGACGGATACACACCAGACACTACTGCTCCTGTCAACCCTCGTCTCCCCTTCCATGTCCCCTGCGCCGTGTTTTGGACTCGTGGAGACGATAGCCCCCCTGTCAGTTTTAATGCCAAGACCGAAACCCCTGTCTGAACCGGTACCACAACCCTGCGCATCTGGGACTTTAAAGCTTGGCACGGAATGCATATTTGTCTCGTCTCTTCCCTTCTTATTCTCACTCCAAGCTCAGTCTCGACCATTCCTTTCTCACCAACCTTTTATTTCCAATTAACCTGTTGCCTCACGCTGGGAGTGTGCCTTCACATTCATTCATTCTTTTCTCTTTCCAGCTTGCTATCCTCAGGTGTTGTGACCGTTCATTTCATCCTCTTCGCCTTTTTTTTTTTTTGGTCTGGAACCAACCCCTTTCAAACGTCAACTCCTGGTACTTTATTGAAAGCGACTCGGCCGACAACATCCGATTCATCAAAGATTCAAAAGACAAGATGCAGATTCAGAACTTGATTGCCGCCCTTGCGGGCATGGCCGTCGTCGCCGAGGCCTCCGTCACCTTCCTCGACTCTCCTTTGAGCGCCGCGTTGGCTAAGCGCCAGAACAAAGGTGGAAACAACAACAACAACAACAACAACAACAACAACAACAACAACAACAACAACAAGAACAATGGTGGAAACAACCAGCTCTGCCTGAACCCGAACAACGTTCAGAAGGGTTCCCAGCAGGCCGGAACGCCCAAGCAGGGACAAGCCAACTCCGCGGTGTAAGCGAACAGGACTCCATCCAGTGCACCAGAGGAAGAAGAAGAACAAAACACTAACCGAGCTGCCTAGTGACCAAGCCAACTTCATCAACTTCTGTACCGGCCAGCAGCTCACCAACGGTGAGCAGAAGACTGCGGGTTCTTGCAACGGTGTCGTCATGGGCAAGATCCCCTCCCAGAACAACATGGTCTCTACCATTATCAAGAACCCCCCTCCCGGCGGCAACCTCCAGGCCAACCAGCAGTTCAATGTCCAGCTCAAGGTCAACAACCTGCAGGCCGGCTCCTTCACCGACGCCCAGTCCACCTACTACTCGGCTCCCCAGGACACCAACGGCGCCGGAAACATCATTGGTCACGTCCACGTCACCATCCAGGACATGGGTAACTCCTTGACCCCGCAGAACGCTCTGGACCCCAAGCAGTTCGTCTTCTTCAAGGGTATCGATGACGCCGGTGACGGAAAAGGCAACCTCCAAGCCACTGTTACTGGTGGTCTCCCGGCCGGAAACTACCGTGTCTGCACCATGTCCAGTGCTTCCAACCATCAGCCCGTCCTGATGCCCGTCGCCCAGCGTGGTGCCCAGGATGACTGCAACAAGTTCACTGTCGGAGGCAACGGAGGCAACGGAGGCAACGGAGGCAACGGAGGCAACGGAGGCAACGGAGGCAACGGAGGCAACGGCGGCAACGGCGGCAAAAACGCCGCCGTCAACAGCGGCAACGCCGACAACGGTGGCAACAACGACGGTGGTGGTGGCGGCAACGACGGTGGCAACAACAGCGCTAACAACAGCGGCAGCGGCAACAAACAAGGTGGTAAGCAACAGAACGGAGCAAGCACTGGAGGATTCCCTGGCACATCTAACCAATTCCCCGGGAAAACAGGCACTGGATCAGGAGCCCAGACTGGAAATGCTAACACTAAGACCCAGGCGGGGGGAAGCGCCAGTAATTCGGCTACCAACGGAAACTCTGGAACCGGCGGCAAGGGAGGCGCGACGGCGAACGCCATCGGCGGAATTCAGGCCCCGGCGGTCACGAACTCTGGCGATAGCAGCCGACCCTTCGCCGTCAATGGCAACACATTCGTGAACAAGGCCGCAGCGGTCCAGCGTGCCTGCGACATTCAACGGAACGGATGCTTCGATGCCATCAACCGCGGAAAACTGACGGGATCCACTGCCGACTGCGACGCCCAGCTCCAGACCTGCACCCAGCAGCTCTCATAGGCTCTCTCCACTCCGACGACAACCGAGGATTAGGATTTTGCCACGCGAGCCACAGGATACGGGACTTGGGAACTTGGGCCGTTTTACCAGGACGACAGACGGGTTTCTTTTGGGTTATCCCCGGGGTTGGCCATCCAGAGTGACCCACTTGGTGCTCTTGTTTTTCTTTGGATTGTTGATGAAACTGGTAGGAGGTTGTTGGATGGGAAGGGTAATGCGGTCTGGCGTGGATAGGTTGTCTTCGTTGTGGCCTCGTTTTTTTGTCCGACGATTGGAAACCAGCGCCGGGCTTCGATACCACAGACGCATCAACGACACCATTTGGCAAAAACTCCACCCCCTCTATATTATTGTTCTAATGTTACCCCACCCCCCACCCCCCTCTTACACTCGACCACCACGACAAAATCTTCACGATCCGCCTTTCTGTACATTTAGAGGGAGTTGTTTTTTTTACCCGCCCGTTAGTTGAGGATACGCCGCATGACTTGGAAAGGATTGGAAGGCACAATTCCAGTAGAGAGTTGCACAGATTTCTTTTACTCTTTTCCTTCATTGCCCGGTTCATTGCTATTGATTTGACATGTCGTGACGTTTAGCTTGGGGGTGCGTGTGTGGGCGGGAGAGTTCTAACCGACAGGTGACAGAACTCTCAAGGTTCGACGAACAGGTTGGCTCGTCTGTCCCTCCTGCGCCCTTTGCGCCCTCCCTCCCGGTCCCTCCAACGCCGATTATTCGGGGACAGGGAATGCTTGCTCACTCGGTGTGGGTGGGTGGCCATGGCAGCGGGCTTGCGGCGTCTGATCAGCGTGCGAGTGAGTGTCTCACTCATGCGGCCCGACCGCGTGGAGACGCTAGCTAGGCGCAGAGTTTTGGGTTGCCTGAATGACTAAGCTGGGAACCGCAGGTGTGTTGCGCCCGTAATACCGCAGGTGTAGGGTAGGTATTTGGTTCCATGGAGTGAGAGACGCCGGCTTGGCGACCGCTTGATGACCGAGAGAGGGGGAGGGCTGCTGCGAGCGAAACGCGGAAGCCTCCTTTCCCCAGTCCAGGGGGTGTGTGTGTGTGTGTGGGTGGGTGGAAAGGGGAAAGACAAGGGGGGGCTTAGGTTAAAAAGATGCATGGTATTTCGATAGATGGATGGATAGCCCTTCCTTTTGTGGAGTGAGATGGAATAGATCCAGAGTTGAGACGCGTTTCAGGCACCTCTTTTTTTCTTTTTAAAGAGGGTGACCGACTGCCCCCGGAGTTTGGACGGATGTGAGTTGAGTAAATGTGTGAGTGAGTGAGTGTGTGAGTGAGTGTGTGTGTGTGTGTGTCGTACTGAATGCGACGGTATGAGGGAAATGGTACGTACCCCCTGCATACGTACGGATATGTGTGTGTGCTGGTATCCGTAGTGTGCGGATGGATACTGAGAGTCTGCGAGAACGATCATGTCAAGAGACACACAAGAGAGACGATACAATATGTTGTTCATTATTATTACCATGAGAGGGGAATTGCCAAAGTGTTGGGACGGAAGTTCTCCCATCTTCGTCCTTCTTTTCTTCTTAGCGAGGTTTGCCCCATCTGGTAGGTGACATGGGGGGGGGCAACATAGTTTGGTTGTTGGTTAATATTGACCAGGGGGCGGAAGGGAGTCATGTTAAAGCGTGCCAGATCCCAGGTTGCTTTATTGACGCTTAATCTTCTTTTTTAATCTGTGGGGTCCTATCCCTCCCACCACCCCTGTCCATTCCCTGCACAGCCACAACGCATTCCCCGTCCTCTCCCGCGATGCTGGCTGACTTGTGTGCTGAGACTTGTGCGGCCTGCGACTCGGTGTGCGCCGATTCCAATCTTTTTGACGACCTAGGTCCCCCTTCCCTTTCCAAACGACACGGTCTTGAGAGGGTTGAAAGAATTGAGACGAAGACAAAATCTCGACTTGGGGTTTCACGAGATCGGACACTCCCGGTAGCTGGTGACCCCCCGTTTCCCCCCGTTTCCCCCCGGAAGAGGAGGAGGAAGAGGAGGAGGAGGAGGATGTGGAGGCCGGACGGCGCGACGCTTGCAACAGAGGCCCAAAGCGATGGGACGGAAAGCGCCCGTTTTCTGTCGTCGTTCTGAGCTCCGGAGGGGAGACTACGCATTCCGGCCTGCCGGTCGCCGGAGGGTTCGGTGGCTGCTTCTCCCGGAGACCCGGAGACCCACCCACTCCCGGCACCGTTGCCAAGAGGGACGGCGGCTGAAATCGCCACACGGGACCCAGCCTGGCCTGAGGGCGCGATGTGGCGCGCCGCCTGAAACCTAGCTTGGTCGAACCGAATCGTGGGGGCATGTCGAAAAAGTCGCATGGGTCCAGAGAGACTACCGGTATGGTACGGAGTACTACACTACGTATTGCAGCGGTGCCGATTAGGCTAATGGGTTGATTCATTTTGCGAAATAGGCCCGACGAGGAAACCATGCCCCCCCACCCTTTGATGTATGGTATTGGGGCTCGCTCGCCCAAGTGCACCTCGAGATATCGAGGCACATGATACTCGCCCTCCCTCCCCCCTGGAAGACTGACGCACTTTGGTAGGTGTTCGAGCGGCAGGGTTGCCGCGAAATGTTTCCTGACAATATCCGTACACGCGAGTGGGGAATCCCGGTTTCCAAATTTCCCGTCCAAGAGCAAACACTGGCGGACTAGTCGTCGGATTATGACCGACGGCGGGAGGAGAACCGTTTTTCTTTTTTTTTCTTTTTTTCCCTTTCTCGGATGCCCCCCTTTCGGTATACGCCGCGCGCGCATCGAGATTGCAAATCTTCAGGCGTCTGTCTGAATGCAGACGGCCCCAACAAACCAGCCCCCCGACTTCAAACAAGTCGGGCAGCGAAGGGGGGGGAGTGAGTGTACGGTTACTGATATTATTGATACCGTGGTTTCTCATTATTGGTACCGTAGCCATACAAATGCCACGACATGCGGGGGGAGTACGGATAGGGTGAGTGGCTAGGGTTTGTGGTGGGAGACAAGTTTGTGTCAGGAGTAGTACTATGCATGCTATGTATCCGTCAGGGGATATACGGTATCAGTAACCGGGAATCGTCCCCAATCAGATTGCCCGCTTGGGTGACAAGAAAGGAGTGCCGGTTTCAAGGACCTCGTGGCCCCTGGCCTTTCAAAGAGCTGCAAATAGGCAAAGTAAACAGGGAAAAAACCATTTTATTTGCATTCAATACCCGGAGCGTCTCGTCAATGCGCCTTTCTACTATATCGGAAGCTGTATGATCTATTGCTGCGGCAGCTGTTGTAGTAGCAGCAGCAAAAATCCGGCCCTCTTGTTTTGTCACCAGAGTGCTTGCATTCAACATCTAATCAATCACCTGGAATGATGGCTCGGCTCGGCTCTGCAATGGTGCACTTGTTCAAAGGTTCTCAAAAGGCTTCCCCGCCTGGTCGAGGTAGTATTCCGACCTACAGCATGTAACCAAGTAACACAGGTTCAGAGTACCATCCCGGGTTTCTAGGAGAGCAACGCAACTACAGTTACAAGAACCGCCGCCGCGACAGCAGCAGCCGCGCGGCCCTGAGGAGGGGCGGCCGACTCAGGAGAAGGAGAAGCAGAAGCAGAAGCAGAAGCAGAAGCAGAAGCAGAAGGAGTGGCCGACGTCCCGGGGGGTGCGGCCGCGGTGTCGACCCGCATGCAGAGGACGTTGGGCTTGCTCACCCGGCCGTTGGTGATGTTCAGCCAGGTGTTGAACATGAAGACCTGCAGCCGGTCCGAGGCGTCCGTGTACCCCCGGACGGCGTTCGTGCCGCTGAGCAACCCGCCGTGGAACGTCCACATGCCCTGCCCGCTCTGGACCGGCGGCGCGTCGTTCAGGGCGTTGTTGGCCGAGGCGGGGTTGGCGTCGGCCGTCGCGGCGCCGAATGTGAAGGGGCGTCCGGCCCGGTCGGCCCGCGTCGCGGCGCCGAACGTCGCATTGCACTCGGGGATGTCGCCCCACTGCGGCACGACGCACTGGTCCCCGTCGAGGTTGTTGCCGTCGTAGTTGAGCGCGTTCAAGCAGTCCTCGCCGAGGACGCGCCTGCAGTCGACGCTGCCGGTGTCCGCCTCCGTGTACAGGTCCGTGACGTTGGCCGGGAACGGGTAGTCGAACCCGGTGACGCAGAAGGGCGACGACGACCCCCTCAGCGCGGACGAGATGTTGCCGCCCAGGGGCCAGGAGAGGTCGTACGTCGTTGCGAAGGTGCTGGGGCTGTCGATGCCGGCCGTCGAGAGGTTGGCGGGCAGACGGGGCAGGGCGAGCTCGGTAACGTTGACGCCTGCGGTGATGGGTTGTTAGCTTGCTGGGCCGACGGCGAAACGCGATACCCAGTGCTGGCTTCTGATGCCGCCGGCGCGGGCGGGAGTTTGGGGAAAGGGATGCTCACGCCAGGTCCACTCGTCCAGCATCAGCTGGCTGGTGCTTGTGCCGCTATTTGCGAAAGGCTGGAACTTGATCGAACGCGTTGCGTTCGGCGCGGTGACGGCTTTCCGGAAGACTTCGGCCGTCTCGGTGTCGAAGAACGGCGGCACCGGCGATCCGAAGGCCGAACCGGGCGCGCGCCACGCGTCGTCGGCCATCGCAGCGCTGACAGCCAGCACGGCGGATGCCGATATGGCTGCAAATCGGCTCTTCATGATGCTGGTCCTGTTGGGTGATTCGAGATGGTGATGATTAGATTCGAGTGGAAATTCACCGCGGAACTCGACCCCCTGCGTTACCCCCCCATTTTTTCCAGTCAGCCTTTTTCTCTTATAAGATAAAAGGCCTTGTAGATGTTTCCTGCATCGGGCGTGGGGAGGGCTCGGCAAGCTTGGCGCCATGTCTTACCGGTGATGCAATGTGGCAAACTGCATGTCGTCGAATTCCTCGCTCCGAAAGCGTCTCCCGCAATGTCTTGAAAGGATACTGATCCAAGGCCATAGGGCGCACCTGCTAGGTCGCTTGCGTCGAGCTAGCCTGGGTTTCATTGAGCAAGTCTCGATAGGCACACGCGTTTCGGGCAGAAGAGGGGCCAGGCCCGGATGGCTGGAACGTCACTGATCTTCGTGCCCTTCCTTCAACCTCAAGCCCTTCCGTCGTTTTCGTGCTCTCCCACTCAGCCTCCTCTTGCTTTGGTGTCTTGTCGGGCGACGGAAAGTAACAAGGAACGAGGGCAGAGAACGAAAGCATGAGCCCGCCAGATTCGTTCCTGACAGCCACCCACGCATGCTCGAGTCACAATGGCTTTGTCAGGTTAGGTAAATGCTTCAAGTAAAGAATCATGACAAGATATTTAGCTGGACTACTCATCCTCCGAATCGAAGTCATCTTCGTCAGTATCTGTACCGACTCGGATACTAGAATCGCCCCCTCCTACCCTGTCACCATTACTGTGATTCGACTCATTGTCCGCGTCCAAGCCCTCTCTGAGCACTCCGCCATTTTCCTGGCCAACAAATTCGCCTCGGGAGCACTCCTTCAGCTCATGGTCTTCGTCGTGCATGTCTTTCCGAGTTGCGAAGCATTTGAAACACAGATCATAGTCAAAGCATACAGTACACCTGTACCGCGACCCAACTGTTTCCTGGAGTCAAAGGATTGTCAGTTACCATGACTGATGCAGTTGATATATGAAGACTTACTGCGAAGCAGCTATCGCACATCCAGTCGGTAGAATCGTTCGTTGCTGGTGCTATGTCGTGGAACCCGGAGTCCCACACTTGCTTGGAACCGTCTTTGCCTTCACGCTCCCTCTCATGCGCAGGGGGCTGCAGCAAGTCCTTCGCATCTTCGTCTTGCCCACTCAAGCATGCGAGTTTTAGCGCCGACCATTCACCATCGGCACTTCGGGGCCAGATGTCTGCTCCGCACGTTTTGACAAGCCTTTGGATGAACCGGTTGTGCCGTGGAATTCTACACGCCCACATGAGAGGCGTCCAGCCGTCGTTGTCCCGTACATTTATGTCGTGTCCCTTGGGGAGCTTCCTCAGGATGAACTCTATCAGCTCCTCGTCAGCCATGCTGGCGGCGAAATGAAGCAAAGTTCTTCCAAAGCGGTCTGTTGCTTGCAGGTCCGCGCCGGCCTTGGCAAGAACTCGGGCCGCTCTCATGGCAGACTTCCTACGCACTTCGAATACGGCCAGGTAGTGAACAGCGCGGCGGCCGAGCCCGTCGGAGACGTCGACGTCGGCGCCATGGCGGATGAGATATTCGAATATGTCGGGGTGCCCGGCGTGGGCTGCTGCAAGCACCGGGAATGCTTGAGGCCCGCCAGGCGCATTGACATTGGCTGGTGGATTAGCATTTCGCATGAGATGTAGGAAGATTTGCGCTCGCGTCCATTCATCAAAGGGCGCCCGTATGACTGCGTGCAGCAGTGATTCACAGGACGGTTCTGGGCCGGCGGCGCTCGGGTTGGCCCCGGCATCAATGAGAAGCTTCCACATCTCAAAAGCGGTTTCACTCTTCGGGTATTGTGTCTGGCAGACCAAGTGCAGGAAGCTGCCAAAGCCGGTGTCGTAAATATCCGCCCGAGCCCCCTTGGAGATGAAAAATGTCGCCGCGGCGACGTTGCCCTTTTTCACAGCGATCCCTAACGGCGTATACCCGTGTTCGTTGGGAGAGTCTACCGGGGCGCCCAGATCAACTAGTGTTTGCAGTATCTCGACCGGAGTTACGGAACCGACTCCATGGAGCGCCGTGTTCTTTTCTTCGTCGATATGATTGGCCTTTGTGCCGCGGTCCAGGAAATCTCGCATCATCTTGTAAGCTGTTTCGGAGTCATCTAGATCTGCGTGTTGCAGGATGAATCTGGCGTCCTTGAGCTTATCATTCACTTCCGCCCCGGCCTCGAGGAGCAGACTCGCACACTCGTGGCTGCCACTCTTGACCGCCATCACCAGGGCGGTGTCGCCGTAGCTGGGGCTCTCTGGGTTGTAGTCAAACTTCAAGTCGAGATTTGGTAACGGACGGTGGGCAAGGAGACACCTCAAAACATCCGGGAAGTCCCACCTTGCCGACATCATCAACACCGTACCGCTATCGCTCATCTTGTTGACATCTGCGCCAGATTCGAGAAAGAGGGTCACGTACTTGGGCGAATCGTAAGCAGCGTGAATGGCAGTCCACCCTTTGGGATTCTGCCAATGAATGTCTACCTTTCGTTCCAGGAGAAACTCGGCGATCTTGATATCAATGCTGTAGTAAGCCGCGGTGTACAGGGGAGAATCCGCCTCTTGGGGGACGTAGTTGACGGATGCTCCTTTTACCATGAGGAACTCCACCATCTCGAGACTGTTTAACAAGACGGCAAAAGCCAAGGGCGTCTTGAAGACTGCGTATTCCCACGTGTCCGATGAATTCACTTGAGCACCGTTTTCGACGAGAAGGCCGATAACTTCCTTGTCTCCCGTTCGCATGGCCCGGCGGAGAAGCATTTCCTTGTCAGTGTAGAACTGGTTAGGCTCCGCACCCCTCTCGATAAGAAGACGGCAGCCTTCTGCGACGCCCGAGAGGTGACAGAGAACATACAACGGAGTTCCTTTATTGGAATCAACACGGGGGTCTGCTCCATGTTCTAGAAGGACTCGGATGCACTGCAGCCTGCCGTGTTCCGCAGCGCAGACCAGGGGGGGCTGAAGCTCAAATGAATCTTCGCTATTTTCTCCATCATTGGGATCTGCTCCAGCTGCTAGAAGTCGCTGGAGGGCTTCAAATTCACCGTTGGAGACGGCCGTGTTGATGACCGACACACCACTTTCGTCCTTATCATTGACGCTGGCTCCTGCGTCGAGAAGCATCTGCACAATCTCGGGCTGACCGAACTCAGCAGATAGCAACAAGGGAGTCCTCCCCAGGTTATCTCGCACGCCCAGGTCGACTTTGGAGTCCAACAAGAGTTTGACCGCTGTCTTCTGTCCCCAGGCAATAGCTGTATGGATAGCCGTTTCATCTGTGTCTTCATTCCTCTTGTTGATGTTGCAGCCTGCTTTAATGAGAGCAGAGAGCAAAGAATCAAGACCAGAGGCGGCGGCGCGAGAGAGGATGCATGCGGGCCAGTTAAACTCATCAAGAAAGCCAATCCTCTTCAGGATCTCCTCCACTGCACCTTCGTTGCATGAGGATGTGGCCCAGATGATCGCATCTTGCAATCCCGACTCCTGGGGCTGAACCTTTTCCAGAAGCTGGCGCATTATGTGTTCGTTACCGTTTCGCGCGGCTTCTGCGATGGCCAACCAAGCGTCTTGTTGAAACCATCTCGAGTGTTCTTCTTCTTCAACTTGCTGAGACATCACGTCTTCCAGCCCCAACGAGGCTATGAGGGGCAGAGAGGAAACATAGCTTCGGTGGATGCGTGTGAAGGGATTCGACACAAGATAATACGCTTCGGCCCATCTGTTTCTCTTTTCCGTACTTCGAAAGAAGTCAAGCGCAAGCTCGGTGGGTTGATAAGATTCGCAAAGCCGATAGTGTTCAGCCCAAAATCGGACCGCATATTCCAGTAAGTCATCTCCGGGCAGCGCGAGGGGCTTTTTGAGGACATCTCCGCTGTACTTGTCGACTGAGAGCTTGGCGTATCGCTGCTGCACTTCCTGGTGCATGAGGTACTTCAAGCAAGTCTCGGCCAAGAAACCGTGAATCGACGGTGGGTTCTCGCCACCGTACTCATCAGGTATGTTTGTGTCGTAGAAGGAGCTGTGCGAGAACTTGAGAATGCGACCCTCTACAACGATGGCGCCGGAAAACATCCTTGTCACGTCTTGAAGCAGCTGGTCATAGTCGATGTCCAGGACTGACGTGTCCGAAACTGCCGATGCAGCTAGAGCATGGCCAAGCGACTCGACCGTCAGTGGTTCGATGGCGTATTTCACCCATCGATAGATTGAGAGTGCTGACGTTTGTCTGTCAGGCGGCAAAGTACTGATCAGGACTGACAAGACAGTCTGTGGCGTGGCGGGACGCAGCTTATTGATAGCCATGTTGATGTCGGCGATCGAAAGCCCTCGTCCAAAATGACGAAGCCAGTCAAGAACTATGTGTCCAAGACGCGGCTCTTTGTGATATTGTTCTATCGTTTCCTCCAGGCTTTCCTCGAGACGGTGCAAAACCGGACGTTTATGGAGCACGTCTTTGAGGTATGGCCCAAGCCCACTGTCATCAGGGCCCTTTTCGTCGATTGCGTACCCTGTCAGTGGTCCCGGGAAATCCGCCAAGGAGATCACTCGTAATCCATGGAGTGAGTCGTTGAATACCCTGTCCTGGCTATTTGTGCTGATGACCAGCCGGTAGCTGGAATCAGTGCGGCTTTGGTGTTCTAGCACCTTGGAGAGGAACCAATTGCGCTCTTCCTCCACACAGTTGTCGAAGCAGCCCAGAACGATAACAATGCTCTCGACATCTTTACACCTTCTCCATTCTGCGAAGAGGTTGAAAAGAACAGGCAAAGACCAGCTGCGGTAGTACTCCAGGCTCTTAAACACTCGACGAGCTGTTGGGGCCTTTCCCGGTTTCGACCACATGCGCCAGGTCGTTTCCGAGAGAAATTGAGCGAGCATGGATTTGATGCTTCTGAGTCTACTATCGGACTTGTCGAATTGAAAGTAAAACGCAGCACCTACGTTTTTGTCTCCCTCCTTGAACCCGTGAAGGGTTGTCGCGTCGTACCAAGTGAACAGGTACTGGGAAACCATCGCCATTCGTGATGCATCTTGCTGATCGCCTTGGATACATAAAGTAAAGGGGCCCCTCGTCTCATCGAACCTTTTGAAATTTTTGTGGTTGAGGATCCAGTCTAGGAACGGGGGGTTTTGGGGTGCGTCTGGATCCCTGTGAATCTTTGGTAGTCTCGTAGGTGGCGTTAGTGATAACAGAGCAAATTGACCGTCGTTGAGGTCATGGCTTGCCTTCAGACCTGTGAGTTTGTTAGCCACGAAAAGGATACAGTCAAAAGATTAGCATACCGTAGTGCTCCGGTTCGAACCGTTCTCTGAAAATAGCTATCCAGCTCTTTCTTCCTATCACGTCTTCGTCACCTCTGACGAGTGCAGCATGGTCTATGATATTCTGGCGCCATCGACTATGAACTTCAAACATGCTGTACATGCATGATGTGTATCGGCTAAATGGTGATCCGCGTAGGACGGGGAGCTCGGTCAAAGCTGGCTGAGGAATCTCGCCCTGAAGGTGGGAATCCTCTTTGGTTGTTACCAGCACACTTGATGATTCGGCGTCTTTGTGTTGGTCGATTTTTGTTCCTGACATACCGAGGTTGGGAGCCAACGAGGCAAATACCATAGGTTCAAAAGCATCGTCTGCATGGTTAACTGCCTCTTCAAGAGAGTGGTCCTCGACATTATCATTCTCATTGACGTCTTTCGTATTGGTGTCAACATCAGGGGCTGCCAAGTCGTCTTTGTCGGGTTGCGGAATGTCTGCTGCGACGAAAGAAGATTTGTCTTCCGAGGTGACGGAAATGTTTTCATCCTGCATCCGATTCTCATCCGGTTTAGATTTATCGATTTCAAGCGCTGCATCGTCCGTTGGTTTCTTCTCCTCGGCGGCCTTGAGATCTTGGAGGGTTCCAAGGTTGAAGACACTACTGTGCACCAAACGCGACAAAAGCTTGCTTTCCAGAAACCGAGTGTTAGTGTCTTCCACTTGAAAGGCAATATTCTTGATTTTCCTTATGAGTCCACTTTCGATGCTCGGACCGGGCAGACTCATCAAGGTGTGCAGCTCATCTTCAAGGACATCAATAGACTCAGCCTTGTGAGGACAGCCAAGAAATATCTGTAACATAGATTCGTTAGTGGTCAAGATGCAGATCCGAGATAATACACAACGAAAGCATATTTGTCTTACAATCGTTGTAGAGAGTTTCGCAATCTGACCCCTGGCTTCTCTCATTCGTTCCCAAGTTTCGACATCTTCAAAGTCCGACGGAAGGACGGCTTGAGAAGCTTCGACCAGGGCCTTTCCAGCTGTCAGTTAATAACTCCTTGCAGACCAGTGAACAAAAAGCCCAACCTTCTTGACAATGATACCCCCAATGTCATGACACACCCAAATTATTGGCCGATTTACCTCGCTCTGTGCGATGCGTTATTTAGTAGGTTTTAATTCAGATATTCCGATGTGACCAATGCGACATGCACTCACATCCGGGAGGTCAAGCCTCTTTTCGGCGTACTGACGCAGAAGATCTCGAGATTCCACTTCGATCCCATCCGGTTGAAAGACCCTCGCAGAGTCATGGGTTGCATATATGAAATCAAGCTGTCGCACAGATAGGCCGTCAAATAACCGCTCCTGAAGCCACGAGACTCCACTCTTGGACATCCACATAGTGCTGTGATTATCACGAAGCCCGTGAACGGTGATAACACTGGTAGTTAATATGTCAGTGCCAACCAGGACCATAGAAGTATCGAACATGACCGACGTACTCATAATCAGTAGATTCAGAGGACCGACCACGTGCGCTTAAGCCAAGCTCTCTGGGTTCGTTTTCGAAAGAAGGAGTTACGGGGCTAAAAGCCAGCGAGAAAGCCACCGAAGTGTTTCTATCCGAAAATTCTGATGAGATTGTGGATTCGGAGTCATCCCCTATGCGGCCCATCTCGTCCGCACCATCGTTGCGATTGTCAGCGACGGCGCGAGGCTCCGACATTGGCTCTATGGGGGTGTCCATAGGGGTGTCCACGGCTTTCACGGCTATCTCATCGCTCGGAGAAGTTGTCAAGTACGCTGAGGCTCAGAATTTTGTTAAATTGAATTCTCTAGCGGAATCTGATGACTAGAGACACGGACAAAGTGAGAATTACTGATTGAAGACATTCGTAGCTATGGTGTGTGAAGCTCGGGAGATAGTAATCGGACAACCATTCCGCACGTTGGGCTACATGTCACCTCGCTCGTAACCCCAGTCGCAGACCTCTCGTAGAGCTAGCTGCGGTACATCCACGAAACCTCTGTTGAGCGTTGGGTACATGATGAGGGGTTTCATTTGCTGACCACCATTGGCGGCAGCCGCAAGGGTATATAATTAGTTTGCGACATTCAAGTGGCAGCTTGCGAATGAGAATCATCCCGTGACCATCGAATGCGTGCAACCTAGATATTCCCAACCACTTCGGGTAAGCGGCCCGAATCGAAGCCTTAGTCTCACTACATGTACGTCATATAAAATTTCGGGACGAAGGGCTCGAAAACTGATTGACCGGCCACATGCCAGCTTCAAAGCTTGGGCTGAAGGTTAAGCATTGACGAGTGTAGGTTTTACCATTACTGTATGGTTGTTAAATGGTCAATATAGTGTGAAACAGCAAGAGAACACTCCACTAGACTCTATTTCTGAGCGTCCAATATCATGGTCGTGAAAGTAACATCACTAAGCTTCTGCAAGTCAACGCTCCCCAGCTCCTCGGTGTCGTAGTCCATGAGATTGTTCGTAGGTTTCATGGTCGGCTTGAGGTACAGCGGATCGTCTTCAGGGACTCTATTAAAAAAAGATCCCATTGACGTCCACACATCGGCTTTGCACTCCAACTTCGGAATGCAGGTGAAAATGGCCTCATCTCTCCTTTTTACCCTCACAGCGACCCGGATGGAAGCGGGAACTCCCGTTTTGAGCGTCTTGTTCTCCAGCAGAGTCCATTTTGCGATTCGATTAGGCGGCATGTTGTTGACAACGAGCTTGCCGCCATTGATGGTCGTCGCATCTGTCGTCTCTCTGGCGATGGTCTTTTCCCATTTGGCTGAAGCATTGATTTCCGCCGCGAAATTGGCACCGACACCTCCCTCCCCGCCTTTAGTCATGGTCTCGGATTGCTTACTAGGCAAAAAGCTGTAGTTCCCATCGAAGGACACTGCTTCAACTTCTGGGAAGCCGTGCTTTGCGTCAGAAACGTCAAACCGTAGCTCGATCGTCGCCCCAGAAACACGACGCGCTCTCTTTTGGGGATCGAAACGAAACTGAAAGACCAAGAGAGTCGCCCAGAAATCACTTTCCGCAGACATGGCCCCGTGAACGGCGTCGATGAGCGCACACCTGATGTCAACGCCGTGGCCAGTCCGTTGAATGACTTCCGAGCGTTGATAAGGGTCTTGAGGGTTGTTTTTGATGTGGAATCCGCTGCCTTCACTGCCGCCCTCGAACATGCCAACGTCGAAAACTTGAACGTTGTTTCCTTGCTCAAGACCATTTGCGCTGTCGGTATCAGAGACGGACATATTGGATGTTGGAATTATTTCCCAATGGATAGATAGAAGCCGTAATTAGTAACGATGTCAAAGTGTTCAAGTTGGTGCGGAAATGTCTCTTGGCGTCTGTAAGAAGGAAGGAAACATGCCCTTGCAACCGCAGAAAGAATGGCCCAGATCTCTCGTTTATGACCTTGAATAGGAAATCTCGTTTGAACAAGCAAAGGGTCTGAACCAGGACAATTTTACACAGCCTACACTGCGGTTTGGATTGGGCTGGGTACGACCCCAGCGGTGTTGCATACCGGGGGGTAACATGACCTTTGGTGCCAAAGGCTGTGGCTATTAATTAGGAAATTCGGCCGCCAGCCTGCTTCGCTAGTGCATTTCATGCATGTCAGATTCGATATTTGCAGCTAGCCTTCAGGATCAGGCTGCCATATATGCGCTCTATAAACATTCGTGTACTTTAGGTCTTGGCAAAATACATATTTCCAGACGAGGCTAGGGGCCCAAGAAATGGTACTCAGCCAGGGTAAGGGCATCTCATGCCTCATAGAACGCAGTGTTCGCGTCGTCCGTAGATTTCGATCATTGAAGCTTTACACATTTTGCACCCTCAAGTCGCAACAGCAACTCGATTCGAACTTGTGCGAAATCTACAAGCCCTGATTGAATCAGAATTCCTGATCGAAGAAAACCTAATCTTGCTGCACTTTTTTTTTATCAAGATCCCTTTCTACTTCCCTGCACAAGAACCCCATCATGCCTGAAACAAAGTACAGAGACCGAGGGCAGGAGGACGACGAAGAGGATGAGGAGTCGGACGAGGAGGAGGAGGACGACAACAAGAATGGAACCAGACAAGCCATTGTCGACATGAAGACGAAATTCAACGGCCAAGCAACCGAAGAAACCGTTGAGAGATTCTTAGATGACCATTCCGCCGTGGTGAAGAACGTCAGTCAGAGTGGTGAGACGTTTTTTCACAGAATCATCGATCTGGTGCACAGAAGAGCGGACGAGAACTCGCTAAATGCATTGGATATCAGGCCACTGTTCGAAAGGCTCGTCAAAAGCCACTCGTACTTGTTGAGAATCACTGATGAGGATGACCAAACACCCCTATACCGCGCAATTAACCGCAAAAGATTCACTTGGAAATTAGTCAATTACGTATTGGATAGTTGCAAGGACCCGGCATGTATTGACGATGTTCTCAAACGAACGTGCGGAAAGGGGGAGTCTCTGAAAACATGTCTGACATTGGCATTCGAAAAGGACCTCAATAACAAGGTCCTTCTAAATCTGGTCAGGAACGCAAGCCCGACTGTTTTGGACCTCACGGATGGCTCGCACCGAACGCCTTTTCACTATGCTGTCCAGTACGAACAGTGTACCGATGAGCGAGTGGAGATTATCAGACTTCTACTCGAAAGGGATAGCGAAATTGTTCAGGAGCAGAAGTTGTCTGGAACTTCTCGGCCTATCGAGACCTTCTTGGATCACAAATATGCAAGAAAAGAGGAAGGGAGACAGACCCCAGTTGAATATTCCGTCTATGGTGAGCACAAGAGGACAGAGAAGGCCTACCTCGACCTTCTCGATAAGGAGAGAGCCACGAAGATGCGCGAAACAGAAAATGAGAAGGCGGATACGAAACCAAAAGGCTCCAGTTTGGCACACAGAGAAAAGGAACCGCCCAAATCAGGGTTGCTTCCTCCGAAAGAAGCGAAAACCCAGATTGGCGGAGACCGTGATCGCGGACCCAAAAGGATCGGGCTGGACCGAGAAAACCCCAAGCAATATCTCGACCCGAAGCTGGACGAGACTGAAAGACGGCTACAGGAACTCAGGGAAAAGGAGGGACGAGAACAACAAGAGCGAAACGCAAGAGAGGAGAAACATCAGCAAGAGAAGATAACGGAACGAGACGGCTCTCGTTCAATACAGTTCAGAGACCCAAAAGAACGTCTTGACGAGACAGGCAAGCTTCAATTCAGCTTGATTGCGGCTGACCCTGCGCCAAACACGCCATTGAAGAGAGTCGGAACACACAGATCTGATACTGCGGATATGGACAAGAAGGAGAAGAAGAAGTCTTCGTCTAGAAGAGCATCCAAGAAGCCCGACCCAAAAGTTTTGGCAACCAATTCTGTCAAAGTTCTCAGGATGTTGAAGCTTCACTACATGCGGACCAGAAGTATAAAGATGGCTACATCGTTTCTCTATGGAAATGATATTCAAAACGGTAGGGTAAACATGCCCCTGTGCCTTGGATCTTCCTATTGACAGTGCGGCAACAGACATACAGATTTGCTTCGACTACGAGGGGCTTCCATCGGAGATCCAAGACCATGTCTTTCTGGAGCGCTTTGGAAAAGATACCCGCAGTGGCATTCAATTTGACGAAGTACTGATGTACGTGAGGTTCCCTATCGTGTCCGTAGAACGCACCGGCAGAAGGGCTCCGAAGCCTCGGGCTCTAGGCCGGCAGGACATGGAGTTTTTCTTTGACTGGCTTTACAACAAAGGTGTGCGACGAATTCTCAAGGTGGAAGTAGATGACAGTGGCAAGATTCCACACAGCGATGAGGCAATCCAGAATTCGCTGGAGAAAATCGTGGTCGAACATCTCGACTGGCAAAAGACCGATTTGGATCCTCGGGTGATTTGCCAGATCAGCAGCAAAGCCGAAGCCGTGGATTCTGACACTTCTCACGAGAGTGTCTTGCCCAGAACCAACAACGGCCTTCGCGAGGTGACGCTCAAGTGGAGCGGCAACAATGCAATCCTGCGGGCATGGAGCGAGCTTGAAGGGTTACCGCAGCTGCCGAAACTTGAAGTCGTCAATCTCAATGTTCCTGCACATTCAGATGTAAGTGTTACCCTCGCTTTTTACTACCATCGTTCAATTTGATGTTCTTTTGAACGATGCTAACTGGGTATTCTAGCTATACGAAACAAGGGAATGGGTCCAGAAAAACGTCGACGAATTCAAAGTTCGTCTGAATAGAAATGCCAATGAAAGCCGCAATGCCGGCATTCTGCCCAAACTACTGGACCCGAACGACTCACAATCTTCAGAGACTCTGTCAGAGAAGAAAATGGGTTTAACTAGGAATGAGCCGCCCAAAGAGGGCAAGATCATTGTTTTCCCGAGGGAGGGTAAAAAGGGAACCGAAATGCCTGTCTCCTCCGGCAGTCTATCCAAAACAGTCGGAACGACCAACCCTGTTACCGAGCACGAGTGGCTCAACTGCGTAGAACGATTCGCTGGTTGCATGGATCTGTTTTGGAAGGAGACAGTCGATTTATCCCGTGGATTGTTGAATCCAGACTCCAACACCGATGCCCACCTTCTGACGGTCCTTCAGAGCTTGAGCAAGGACGTTGTTGTTGCGCTCATCGACGATGGCGTTGACAGCTGCGATTCGGGCTTTTCAGGCCGTATCATTGAGGGCAAGACATTCGACTATCGAGATGCAGGTGCTGGGCAGTATTACAGCTCAGCAAGGGGCCATGGTACCGAGATGGCGAGAATGATTTGGAAAGTGTGCCCCATGGCCAGCGTATACTCGATCCGACTCAAAACACACATCAGTCCAAACAAGGGGCAGTGTACGATTGATGCAGTCTCTGCAGCTTCGGTAAGTCATCATGGGTCAATCAGGCTCCTGGCCACTTCTTGATGCACTATTAATCGACTTTGATACAGGCCATCGAAGCTGCCTTGGAAAAGAAAGCAACCATCATCTCCATGTCGTGGACTATGCCAGTGCCACCGGAGGGAAGCAAAGAGAAGCAACTTTTGGATTCGGTGCTGGAAAAGGCATGCAGTCGGAACGTTCTCATGTTCTGCTCGTCGTCAGACCAGATTTCTGAAACCAAGCATTATCCTTCCGCCTTCAGACGATCGAGGTTCTTCTTGATCGGCGCCGCTCACGATGACGGAAGTGCTTACGGTCATGCCGGGAAGGACAACGATTTCATTTTCCCTGGAGTCAATGTCAACACGAGCGGCGGAGCCAACCTGTCGGCATACCTTGCCGACAAGATGGCGTCGAGCAAAGAGTCGACGGGTTCCAGCATCGCCACGGCTCTCGCTGCTGAGCTGGCCGCAATGATCACGTACTGCTTCAAGACGAGTGAATTGGCCATTGTTACAGCCAAAATCCAGCAGGGAAAAGACTACATTGCGGGTCCCGAACTCGTGCAGCGAGGGGATGTCGAGAAGATCGCTCAGCATAATGTTCTCAAGACGGCATTCAACAGAATCGGCAAAATGGACAACGGGCAGTTCATCAAAGTTTGGAACAGGTTCCAACCAGCAATCCGAATTCTCGAGGGCGAGGGTGAATACGAAACCAAGCTCGCCTGCATCATGAAGCTTTGCTCGAATCTTATCGAGCATTAGGATACACGCGGAAAAGGGAATATCAGTGTGTTAATATGTAATTACACTTACGTAGCAGAAGAAGACATGTTTATTTCATAAGTACCTTTCACTAGGGAAATCCTTCTTGCAGGTTCTCAGACGACGGCTTGTGGCTTCGGCTGCACTTTGCAAGCATGGGCCTGGGCACTCGACAGCTGGGCCTTTTCAGCTCTCCCAGAAGCCCCTCGAACTTCTGCTTCAACAGTTTCTCGTGATTTGTAGTTCAGTTCTTTTTGAAGCTTGGTATCGATTCCCAGGTTTCTGAACTGATAGTGGAGTCGTCTAAACCATGCTCGATGGGTACGCTAAGGGGAGCTCACTGAACGAATATCTCAACCCTCTTGGAGCCTGGAGTTGTAACCCCCTTTGGCGATTATAATTTTGGTTTGATAATCTGATGAGTAAACAGCGCTATTCTGTATTACATAAGTCACAATTAATTGGGGGGGGGGGGGGGGGGGGGGGGGGATATCTCTATCCTCGCTCTTTGTTGTGTGTTGAGGCAATACTACGGATTTCTATGTAACCGGTCTCCCGGAACAGCCTTTCCACATCCGATAGCCCATTATCCAGTATGTCTAGTCATTCTTCCCATAGATTACGCGTAGCTGGATCAAAGTGTTTCTCTGGCCCAAGTTCGAGGCTTCCAGGCTGACAAGAGGTGATATGAAAGTTCCCGAGCGTGGCATTGGTTTGGACTTGGTGGAAGACAACAGCCTAAGACGGCACTAGTAGTCGTCTCCAGGGTGAAATATTCAGGTGTAATGGGCACTGAGCCCAATATTTCAAATCCCACGATAACAATCATGAGATGAAGCGAAAAATGCACGAACGCCTCAAATACGATTGTAGGAGCGATGTCGGAGAGGATCATGTTTGAGGTAAAGTTAGCTCCTTGTATCAGGGGTCTCCCTGTGCTTGTTCTGGGGAAGTAATTTCTTCTTGCATATTCCAGCTTCTCGCCTCACGATTAGTCTTGCTCAGGTCATCGGTACGTAGTAGTTGTGACGCTGATCTTCAGCCATTAATTCTCGACGCGGCCTGAAGGGAAGGGAACACCCGCATGGACCGGTCTAGGAGGCGAATTGTCTATGTGTGAGGAGAAAAGAAAAAAAAAAACAAAAAAACCAGGAAACACCGGCGGAACGATCCGGACAGAGTGAAGCGGTGAAGGTCTTTCAGGGCATTAGGGCGCATAAGTGACCTAATCTTGATGTGTTTTACAGGGTCTAGAGAAAGGGGGTTGATAAAAAACAAAAACCGAGAGTATCTGCTCGTCTCCTGATGTAATTGATGGTCAGTTACTACACCTAATACATTTTACGGATTTCCACAATACTAGAGATGGCTGACTGCTGACACCATTGGAAGCACACTCCCTGGAATTAAGATGTTGACGCTCGGGTATTATGCGTCCTCGAAAGTAGGGATGTTTTTGGATACACTGTCGTATGGTGGCGTGTAGTCGATGTTACTGTTGCGATGCCGGGCATCGCCAGCTCTCGCCGATAAACTCACCCACTCGTGGTCAACTAGGTCACGTATCTTACTTTTCAATCAGGCAACCCTCGATAGCTTCTATTCTTCATTACTACGTACGTATAGTTGTGAATAACCACGGTGCGCTAGCCATTCATCACCCCTTTCAACGACCTAGGTCCTCTGGTGATGTCAACAGTCACCTTGGGGGTAGTACCGTGGTGCGAGTTGGCAATGTAGGATTTACTCTGCTCACCGCTTGCGACGTGAACATTGCTTTTCTGGAAACTTTCGCGATGGCGATTGGTTACACCGCTCATGGGGACACAAAGTCTAGTTGCTTATTCGTCGTTCCATGCCCTGTCGGCCTGTCACTCTAATCCCTTTAAAGCAGGGAGGTGGACCATGAGAAGTCAGCAGACTTCCTCTTTCGGGCTTACGCGCAAAGTACTGAATGAGAAAACCATGATGGCATTCTCGTTCTGTAACACGGGCGGCACTAGCCTTTGCCTAATGATCGGCTCATCCAACTTATTTTTATTCTTTCCGTGAATATCCGCAGTTTTGCATATGCGCGGAAGAATGACGGGCATGTAGGGTAATATTATGTGACTCTTCGTACATGGGCGCATCTGCAAGGCTGTCCCGCCCAGGGACACAATGATAGTGACGTGGCTCTTCGTACGTACTGTGCAAATGTGCATGTCTGATCTGCGATGCGTCGCACAATGATATTGAGTTCCAATCTTCATTGAACCTTTTGTACTCCGTGTTTTATTTTTTATTTCTTGTATAGCCGGTGTGTCCTGCTTGAACTAGGGTGGTTTGTCTGGTCCGTGACTTACAGAACTAGGGCGACTAGGGCGACAATACCACGTCTAATGCAAGCCCAGACGCCAAAGACGCCCAGCACGCGACAGGGCGCCCTCGAATACTACCTTGGTAAGTGAGTGATATATTTCCTCCCGTGGTGGGGATCGGGCCCCCTTGGACCCACCGGTTGAGACGACGTGTGAGATATCCCCTCAAAACAAGTTTGACTCTAGTCAGACGCACCGGACAACTTGTTCCAGCAACATAACTGCCCCTACCAAAAGCGAAAAGCGCCAAGCAAAGGAATCCCGTGAACCCAGCTAGGCGGGGCAACGGGACCAAGAAACCCGGCAGGAAATGGATGAGTGAATCAGCAACTCGGGATCCTATCATGGCATTGGCATATGCAACTCCAAAGTGGAATCCAAGGAGGGGGCGCCAACAGCGCACAGATGTTGAGAATAGACGAGTCTTTTTGGAGGGTGTTCATTACCCTTGTTGTTCAACAGGGGTGCTACGCACCTGGGGATTCTGTATGTGGGCGATGACAGAGGGTGTATCCAATCGTTGAGTGGGAGAATTGCTTTTTCCAACATTATCTTCAGCTAACATATAGGAAAGGATGTTAAGAGAGAAGGCGAGGTTGGGTGCCCCCGGTCTGTGCTGCCAAGGTTGGCAAGGTTGGCCGCGGTTGACGTGTGTGTGCGTCCGGTGACCTTGAGGAGCAGATCGGCCGTGTCTTCTCGATCGATCGCTCAGCTAGGTGACACTGAGACAATGAGCCAGAGCTGTGACATTGCCGAGGCAAGGGATGACCTGAGGCTCAAGATCAGGCTCTTGGAGGCGTCCAGGGAGCAATTCGCAGCGCATGAGGTTCGGGTTTCGGGGCGTTTTGGGAGAGATTAGCATGATGGAAGGACCCGCGAGATGGCATGCATCGCTGGGCCGTTGCCTTGAAGCTGACCCTTATATTCGTGCCGCTAATCAGAGGCGATCGAGAGTCAGGCGCGGATACGCCCGTATTTACGACATGATCCCCCGCATCTGACTGAGTATGGACGTATCTCGGCGTTCGATCGTGCAAGGTGCTCTCGAAAGGAATCTGCGACCAACCGGCTCCTCCGCGGCAAGATGCCGGCGGCGAGTGAGTCGAAACACCTTTGGTGAGGGAGCGTAAGGGCCGTTGAATGCATGGCTAGCCGATCTCGTGTCGAACGACAGTCTACAGACGCATGGCAGACAAGAGACGAGCCTTGGCATACGCGTAGAAGATGGCTGGGCTCAGGGGTCGAAGGATGAACAGCCGCAAAGCTTTGCGCCCTAGGAATCGTTTTCTCTGATCCGGGCCCCTCAGGAGTTGCCCCGTCGGGGCCGTAGCATGGGTATGTGGAGCATTCGGGGAACCAGGGAGAGCTTCTAGATCATGGGAATCCGCACGAAAGAAAGATGGCCATGCTTTTCTCTCCCGCGATCGAAGAACCCAGGCCCCAGCAGGGCTATCGCGATCCGCAAGTCCGCCAAGTGGCGCGCCCGGGGACCGATGGCATCGTATCACGGAAAGTGGTGGCAAGGGTCCTGCCGCAGCCAAGCAGAAGAGAGCGCGGTCCCGTCGGGGAATGAAGGATCCTGGTTCCACGCGGGATCTATCGTGTCTTGGCTCATCCTGACATCCACGTTCCTTGTGTTCCACGCAGAACTGTTCCGGGGCACGGGCGTAGGTATGCATGTGTCCTTCTCGGCCCAGATGTGCTATTACGAGAGAAACTAGACACTCAGTAGGAGATACGGAAGGCTTTATTGCAGGCATTAGTGATTTGCCCCCTCCCCTCCCTCCCCCGGAATCATATGCGAAGATACTCTTCACGATGCCTGCCCTGAAGTGAGGAAGTACTTGTTCCTGTGGCCCCAGAGGTCGTTACCAGACTGTGTTATTGGATTGGCTCTACCTAAACTAAGCTATGACTACCTACTGCAGACGCAACGCGATCTGCTTACCCAGACTCGACGTCCTCCATCTCTTCTATCGCACCAACAACCCTTGCCCCACCACACCATCTTCTTCGAATCCTCTTCTGTTGTGAGAAGTGACAGAAAAAGAAAATTCAATTAGAAGACTTGTAAATCGAAAGCTCGCGCGCTAGCGGAGCAGGTCCCTTCCACAGAAACGAAGTACGAAAGCGATAACGAGAACAAAAAGCAAACCCTCGGCCCCCCAGCGCTTTCATCGCCCTTCGTGCAGTTAGTTACCCTGCTTACCAGGACCCCCAGACCCGTCAAGCACTTTTGCACACCACCCCACTCTTCCCCTCAGAAACCTAAGCACAAGACGACGCCCGTCGTCTGAGGCCTCCCGGCCAGTGCGGCTTGACGCAGCCCTCGCAGCCGGGGCTCAGCACGTCGGGGAGCTTGCCGCCGAAGAGCTCCGGCCTGTAGACGTACCACTCGCGGTACGACTTCCACTCCTCGAGGAACTCGACCCAGTAGACGAGCTGCTCGACGAGCCAGCTGTCGCGGAGCCGGTCCCGAACCCACTCGGCGGGCTCGTTGCGGCCGGTCCAGGTCCGGAGCACCTCGGGCTTGACGTCGGCGACGCGCTCGGCCGTGTAGTACACGAGTTCGGCCCGTCGGCCCCGCGCCGTGAAGTAGGGCACGGGTCCCCACTCCACGACGGCGCGGTGCTTGGTCAGCTCCACCACGCGCACCGTGCAGCAGATGCACTTTGCCTGGTTGAGGAAGTCCCTGAGAACCGTGGAGGCCTTGGGCGTGCTGGTCCGTGGGTGGAGGGGTTGCATGGCTGCGAAGATGACGGGGGGGGGGGGGGGGGATATATGTCCGTGCGGAAGACTCGGGGGCGTCGTCGATGTCTTGGAGCTGCGGATGACACGTTAATCATTTGGCTATGATCGAAGCGGCGGGTTGGGCAGATCTGGCTTCCGTGTTTTCGTCGATGGGCCGTGCAGTAGGGAATGGCAAGAAGCTCACAAGTAGGTTTGCCGTTGTCAATCCGTCATCAGAAGAGATTTTGAACGGTTCCAAGGCCGAACGGGGAAGGTCGCAAGCTCCCTTGGTCTTGCGTGTGCTTCCGAGACTTGTTTTTCTCACCCTGTGCCAATCCCCGGATATATGCGCGCGCGCGCGCGCGAGAGAGAGAGAGAAGTGATGGAATACCCTCGTCTCGTGCTGCGTCGTTAACCTTGGGAGGTGGACGGGCTTGCCCGGTCTAGAAAAGAAAGGCGACAGAAGAGGGAATGACCCTGGCAGATCAAGGCTGGATCTGTCTCGATCCCAAGGGAGAGAACTCGACACCCCCAGGTCGTCGTCGACAAGGGTGGATTAACAATTCATTTATAGCAGCGTTTCCTTCTCCCTCTCGTTACCCCAGTTCTGGCTCTGCATGCCTGTCTCCCTCCTCCTGTCTCACTCTGCTTCGCAAGGTCGGGCTTCCATGGGCGCCCAACTCCAACCATTCCTGCGACCAGCTTCATATGCCTAGTATTCGTCATAGTAACACAGGACGGGCGTCATAACTGTAAAGGTTAGAAGGGGCAGGGGGGGGTGTAAGTCTTGTACATAGTAGGCTTCGCCTGATGCTCGGAAGAAAGCAAGAGAGGAGAATAGTGACGAACGCAAGGGGGCAAAACATGTGCTTGTCCCTCACTATTATGCCATCGTTGCCACGGGGTCTTTTCTTTTCCAACCCTATCTCCGTAGACACCTCGACATGGCATTCTGGTGTAAGACTGGAAGTCAAGGGGGCTTGCGGGGTGGCCCACCCCCAAGCGTGCGAAACGCATATCGGGCACTGTCACATCTCTTTTTTTTTTTCTATTCTTTTTTTTTCCTCCCGCCGCATGATAAATGGTGGTCGATTGGGACGAAACGAAAGGAAGAAGAGACCGAGCCCCCCCTCAACCCCTACCTGGCAGTGGCCCCCTTTCATGTCGCTGTCTGGTCCTTTTTTTCGTAACCATGCAGATCTCTCGGGTATAATGCGAAGCAGGGGTTTCTTTCGTGGGCCCCTTCTTCTTGAAGCGATTGGTTTAAGGTCTCCCGTCTTCGGAGAAACTGCCGGGGTGGCTGTAATTCACTGGGATTGCTGCGTTCCCCGGGAGATGGGGGGGGTTTTAGTCTCGGGACGAACAGAGGCCACAAAGGTCGGTCTCCAAGGCCACTTGCGTTCCGCGCAAGCTTGTGGGCTGTAGTATTCTTGCTTTTCCCCCGGGACAACCAGGCCATTTAGTGAAGCTATAGGACTTCGTTGCCGTCTGGCTAGCTTACCTTACCTTATTAGGGGAAAGAATCACTGCGCTAACTCGGGTCCTTCATTCCAGCTCGTGTTAGCGGACAACTATCTTGGGCCCGCGGCCAAGCACGGGGCTGAAGGAAGAAAGGAGGAACATACGATACGGTTGAGACAATGGACCTCGAGCCCTGGAGCAAGCCGACGGGATTTCTTTTGCGGCCACGCACGGGTTGAGGAAATGGATGGTTAGATATCATTTTCTTTTCTTTTCATCTGAGACAAGGGAAAACCTATACACTAGGTACTGCTCCCCATGCAACCATTTGGTCATCGACATGCGGGCCGCAGTAAGTTGTCCTTTTTTTTCTCTCTCTCTCTCTCTCTCTCTCTAACGTTAAAATTTTTTTCCCCCCCCCCCCCCCCCTCCCCTCCCGGGAAAAAAAGAAACCATTCCTCGGCATCATACCCGCTGTCCTATTTGCCTGCAAGCCAAAGTCGTCCCAGGATAATCGAGGGATGGCTTTTTGAGATGTTATAGAAACCTTGCCCTTTCCTCTTTAGCCTTCGTTCCCGCTGCTGCAGCCACCGGGCTTATGATCTTACATACACCCGCTGAACCAGCACCTCGGGACGCCGTCTGAGAGGCTACTTTACTTCACCGGTACCCGTCAGCCCATGCACTTGCCTTGACCGAGCTGTCATGCCAAGTTGCCCCCTCTCCAGCCTCGCTCAGCTTCTCAACGGTAGGACATCTTTCTTTGCGCAGAAACCCGTCCTTTCTGACACGGAACCCCAGATCATCATAAACGACAACTTCCATCACTTGTCACCTACAGCCATGTGCGAGTGGTACCGCCGCAACTATGCCTGCGGGCACCACTTTACGGGCGCCTCCGAGTGGTGCTATCGATACAGTCAGACGCAGAAACGCTGCAAGGTCGTCGTGACGCAGGTCGACTACGACTCGTCCGTGTGCAAGAGCTGTATGAAGAAGAGCGCCAAAACACAAGTGCCCTGGGAGCACATGATTGACCGCTCCAAATTCGACCCGAACCGAGACGAGTGAGACGTCCCCAAAAGAAAAAAAAGAATTCCCAACCAAAAAGACGCTTTGAATGGCGTGGGTGCCCTGGGGGCACATGGTCAACGGCTCCGAACTCGACACAGAGGACCGATGACGAAACGGATGCCGAAAAACGAAGAAAGAAAAGGGCCACGGAACACGGCTCACTGATAATTAACCCGGACGGACGGCGCGGATACGCTGGAGCACGACGGTTCTCGCAAGGTGTTGGGATGGACGGAACAGGTGGGCGGTAATTGGGACTGGTGTATCGGCGGCTTGCTTATCAGATCACATGGGAGTGGCGCTCCTTTATACCCATTTTATTTTGGAACCGGCGTATGTTTCCTGGAAGGAGGTTACACTTGGAGTTCTAGCTCCTCATAAAAAGGCGGTTGAGGTTACGCATCTGATATGAATACTATCTGGTTAGATTTCGTACCAATAATGGCCAGGTTGGGCTTTGTCACATTGCTCCCCCCGTTTGCCTCGTGCCCACTGCGCTCAAGCTGCTAGCAGCTACCCGGAATGGTGATTCTCAGATAGCATTGGGCCTCAACTCGAAGTCGTATTGAGTCGTAGGTGGCAAGACGGGGACGGTACTTTTCCGTGGTGTACTATGTGCTCCGGTAAGATAAAAAAAAAAAGACAACAAGCTGGAGCAAGAGACCAACAACAACGACGTAGACTCAGTGCCTAGGCAAACCGGATCGAAAGGCGGAATGGCCATTTGGGAGTGAGAACAAGCTATAATAACCAATCTGGATGCTTGTATGTGAGACCTTGTATTAGTTGAACGCTTATCTTGTTGCTGTGAGGTGGCTGAGACTAATGGCCCCTGAGGGAATAGGCTCTATAGTTAGTATGAGGCTTCTTTTTTTGTTTTAATTTATTTCAACTCTTTTTTACTTTGTAAATCAGGTGTCAAGTTGCCACTTGATCCCGTTGCGATGCGGGAATGCAAAGTTACTGTAATAGGTAGCCCTTGAAACCCCGAGAATTCGGGGCCGCAGATCCTAGCCGTTGAATGGTTGAGGGCGAGTGAGACAGGCTGGCATGAGGTGCGGTCCAGTATCCACGCTGTCCTGCTTGCTAACTACCTGCCAGAGGAGACATATTATTACACCTGATGCGAGCCATTCATTCGGCAGGCACTGAGGGCGCTATGCGGCGAGGATTCCCGGAGCCGAAAACCCCGGCGGTCAAGCTCCTTCCTCGAACGTCGGAAGGTGCACGGGCCGGCACTCGGACCCTCCGGTATCGTGAGGGCCACGGGCCGCAGTCGGTTCCGGCTCGGGTGCGGACCAACATGTCCACGGTACGAGGGCAGCGTACCCCGGCACCGTAAACTGCTTACCTAAGTCACCGCCGGGGGTACCTGGGTGCCTGGTAGGGAGGCTGGGAGGGTGCTGACAGAACAAAACACCACCAATGCTGGAATGGTACGAGTCTTGCGGAATACGATATCAGACTCCTTTTCTTGACAAGAATCATGTTCTGCATCCGGCCTCATCATCACTCACTCGGGGACCCCCCCCTCCACGTCGGTCCACCTCGACAATTGTGGCACCCAAATCAGCTCCTCTCAACTCGCTCTGAATGGTCCGGGTTCGGTCGCTTGTTCGCTTCAATTCGCTCGTGACATATCCACTCTTTGAGCCGAACCACTACCTACCTAGCTGATCGAATCCCATCGAGGGAGAAGGATACTTAGTGTACGGATACTACCCACCCATGTCGAATCACGCTTGTCCGACTCTAGGTAATTACCTACCTAGTGCTGGTGCTGGGTAGTTAGCCTGTCACTTGTAATCGCCCACCCGCATGAGGATTTTTTTTTGCGCTGAGAAGTTTATTTGCTTGCGCAAACCTCGTCCGTCGTTTTCTCCTCTCACGCCACTGCTGAAGATAATCGTCAACTTTCTCTTCCCTCCCCTCTCAACACCAAAGAGAAGAAGTACTGCTCATCACATTTTACCCTTGAAGTGCAAAAGTCTAGGTCGCCACCAAAACCAGACACCAAGTCGCAACAATGGGCCAACCATCCGCCGCGGCGTCCAACGCCGTCATTTACGTCACTTATGCACTCTTCCTGTATGAACCCGCAATGCGCCCCCCTCGACTCTGATGAGCAGAACCCCCCCCCCCCCCCCTTTGACAATCCGCTCTCCGCGAGACACGATGCTGACAGTTCGGGTTTCTGCAGTATCACCGGTACTGCTATTGCGTGGAAGTTCCGCAATCAGTCCAAGGGAGAGTTCCTCTCCGGCAATAGGACTCAGACGGGTCAGGAATCCCCTCATCTAACGGGCGTCGCACACGCAGACTTCTGCTTCGCCTTCTCACTCCTTTTACTCTCAACACCCGCCCCCTCCCCCTTTCACGTTGAACCTACCACGGCAGCTAACACGTAACTCGCCCCCGCAGCCTTCCCCCTAGCCCTCAACTTCATCGCCTCTGGTGAGTGAGTGAAGGAGACGCGGCCCCAAGCCGGCGCCTTCTCAGCCTCCCCCCTCTCCCAAACTTTCTCTCCCAGGGGAAAAGAAAAAAAAAGAGCGGCAGAACGGCACCAAAGCATACGAACAGAAACAGAAGCGCATTCCCGAAGCGTGACGCATCGATGGCAGGTATGCCCGCGACAGCAGGACGCTTGTCGATGTCTGGGGACTTTACGACACCGTCCCCCCCTTCGAGTATCACGAGACGAGATCGCGGGTAGGACCACATCTGGTCAAAACTGACAAGGCAGGTTCGTAACCCAAGAAAGATCAACAACAACTCCTCGACCCCCTCATCCCCAACCTCCCCCCCCCTCCCTCGCCCCGTTTTCCGGACGAGGCCAGCTTCGGCCGGGACCGTCTGCGACTGACCCCGCGGAAACTGGACGTGGGGGGTGAAGTGCGAAGGAAGAGGGGGACCACCGAGGATGCGGCTCACTACGGGCGCGGATTCGAAGCAGGTGTCGCGCGCAAGTCCCCATATCCCGTCTCTCGCGAGCAGGAAGGGCGGATTCCGCGCGCGGTCTTGCGGAGATGAAGCTGAGATTGTACCGTGATTACTCGATCAAGTTAATGCTTGCGTGGGAAACGTGCTGCCGCTCCGAACCTTTTTTTTTTTTTTTTCTTCTTCTTCTCTGTCCTCAAATCCTGCCGTGAATACTGACCTCGCCCTCCCTTCCCCCGCCTACAGCACTCGGATCCGGGATCCTCTTCGCCTACCCCGAGCTCGCCACCATCACGGGGATCCAGGGCGTCATGGTCTACTCCCTCTCGTCCTCGCTCCCGCTCCTCGTCTTCGCCTTCCTGGGCCCCATCATCCGCCGCAAGACGCCCGAGGGCTTCGTCCTGACGGCGTGGACGAGGCAGCGCTACGGCACCGTCGCCATGCTGTACCTCAGCTTCATGACGCTCGTCACCCTGTTCCTCTACATGGTCGCCGAGCTGTCCGCCATCGGCCAGGTCGTCAACGCCCTGACGAGCCTGGACGGCTTGCCCGTCATGATTGTGCAATGCGTCGTCACTACCATCTATACCTGTACGTCTCCTGCCATTGGCCTTCTCTCTCTCTCTCTCTCTCTCTCTCTCTCTCTCTCTCTCTCTCTCTCTCTCTCTCTGTATACGGGTGGTTTCACGAGACGTATCTTTTTTTTACTAACTGAAATCTTTCCCCCCCCCCAGCCCTCGGCGGTTTCCGCATCTCCTTCGTGACGGACAACCTCCAAGGGGCCATGGTCGTGTGCCTCATTGTCATCGTCGGCATCGCGATGGGCGTCAAGACGGACATCGATACGTCCCTGATCGAGAGCTCGGGCCTGCTGAAGCCCACCCTGCTCGGCTGGCAGCTCCTCTACATCCTCCCCGTCTGCATCCTCACCAACGACTTCTTCCTCTCGGGCTTCTGGCTGCGCACCTTCGCCTCCAAGACGGACAGGGACCTGCGCGTCGGCGTGTCCATCGCCGTCGCCGTCATCCTCTGCATCCTCACCCTCGTCGGCGTCACGGGCCTCGTCGCCGCCTGGTCGGGCGCGCTGCCGCTCGACCAGGTCGCCGAGAACGGCTCCGTCGCCTTCTTCCTGCTGCTCGAGCGCATGCCGGCCTGGGTCGTCGGCCTCGTCCTCGTCATGGTCTGCACGCTCTCGACCGCCGCCTTCGACAGCCTGCAGTCGGCCATGGTGTCATCCGCCTCCAACGACCTGTTCCGCAACCGGCTCAACATCTGGTGGATCCGCGCCGCCGTCGTGCTCGTCATCGCCCCGACCATCGTCATCGCCCTCAAGGCCCCGTCCGTGCTGCAGATCTACCTCATCTCCGACCTCGTCTCCGCCTCCGTCATCCCCGTCCTCGTCCTAGGCCTCTCCGACCGCTTCTACTGGTGGCGCGGCTTCGAGGTCGTCGCCGGCGGCCTCGGCGGCATCCTGACCGTCTTCCTCTTCGGCCTCGTCTACTACGACGGCGACGCCTCCAGGGCCGGCAACCTGCTCATCCTCTCCGAGGGCCTGTACGCCGACGACTGGAGCGCCTTCGGCGCCTTCGTCGCCGCCCCCGTCGGCAGCTTCCTGTGGGGCTTCGCCGCGCTGGGCTGCCGCCTCGCCTTCCAGTACGTCGCCGCCAGGCGGAGCGGCCGCCGCTTCGACGCCCTCGACGACCCCGCCGTCGCCCCCGACGCCGCCTCCGCCGACGGCGCGCCTCGCTTCGTCGAGAGGGACGAGTACGAGGCCACCTCGGACGTCGAGGTCGTCAAGCCCGCCGGAAAGTTCTTCTAAGGCGTGAAAGCAAAAGTGAATGCTCGAGCATATTGCGCTTCCGAGCGCGGAAAACCGCCGATCGGAAGGGTGATATGCCCGGAAGTTTGGCGGCACCTGATGTGAGCCGAGAGGGATACCGCATGTCTCTCTCTCTCTCTCTCTTAAACACTACATAAAGAATGGAGGGGAAGTCTAGATTCGCTTCAAAATGAAGGGGGAGATTTGTGATTTTTTCTTCTTCAGTATTCGTGGTTGTTGGGTCCTTGGCTGCTCCTTTGCAACCAACCAGGCCCGTTCTATAACCAGTTAATCAAACACGTATAATAATACACTCCTTACATGTTTTTGTTCTGCAAAAGCCTCGTACACACAAAGTTGTTTTTGTTCTCCTGCCGCCGCGGCTACCACTTTTTCTTCACGACTCACCCACCCCACACACGCACAGCAACCCCGACGCAAAAAAAGACAATAACCATGAATAGCCTACAGACCTCCCCGCCTCTTGGCAAAGTCCTGCTTCTCCATGTGCTGGATGCCCTTCTCCTCCAGGCGCCAGTCCTCGAGCGTCGTGGCCTTGGTGTTGCCCCAGACGACCCACTTCGTGGGCGCCCACGTCTTGGAGTCGAAGCGCCTGGTCATGACAAAGTACTCGGTCTGGTTCTGCACGCGCAGGCCGTCCTTGGCGAGCGGCCGGCCGGTGGCGCGGTCGACCTTGCCCAGCCTCTGGGCGCTGCTGATAGCGACGACGACCTGCTGGATGACGGGGCCGCGGCCGACGGGCGGCATGACGGCGAGCTTGTGGCTGACGACGCGCGGGCGGGCGGTGTAGCGGAGCAGCTCCCAGGTGAGGCGCTCGGCGGGGCGGCGTCGCGAGACGGTGGCCGAGAGGGTCTCGTAGAGGCGCGGCGTGCAGATGTCGCGGAGGGCGTCCTTGTCGCCGGCGGCCATGGCCTCGCCGAGGCGCTGGTGCAGGGCCTTGGCCTCGGGGACGAGCTTGGCGCGGTCGAGCCGGGCGCGCGGGCGGGAGGTCCAGGTCGGCATCGAGGAGACCTTGGCGCCGAAGATGGCGAGCAGGTCCTTGGCGCGCTGCTTGAGGAGGGAGACGGCGTACTCCCAGAGGGCGGCGGGCGACTTGTCGAGCTGGGAGAAGGGGACGGGGACGAAGGTTCCTGTTTCCGGGCGGGACGGTGCGTCAGCGCGCGGGTCCCCTCACGTCTCGGTGCGGGTGCTGTGCTAGAGGGCGTGGGGGGAGGCAAGTCCTCATGGGTCTTTCTCTCCCTCCCATTGGAGACGACGAACCTGGGAGCATAATGTGTATCATGGCCATGGACTTGTCCATCTCGCTGGAGGAGTAGCCGACGTCCTTCATGGCGGCCTGCTTGTTAAGGCGTGTACTCAGGCGCAGGTCCGCCGGGTTCGCCTTGCCGGCGTAGCCCCTCGTCGCGGCGGGTATCCTCTTCGCCGTGGGAAGCGCTCTGGTGAAGGTCTGGGGCCTCATGGCGACGGCGGCGCCGAAGCCGAGCAGCGGCCTCGCGGTTCGGTACATGGCGAGCGGGGGTTCCTCTGTAGCTCGGGAGTCTCTGTCGTTCTCTCTCTCGCGCGCGGGCGGTGCGAGGGTATGCAGCCCTTTAGCGTTGCGTGCTTCGCTTTCGTTCGAGACAAGGTCTTCTACGCCCACGGTTCCGGGGCTAAGGGAGTCGAGAGCGGGGAGGGGGGGCGTAGGAGGATGGTCTGATGCCGAGCTGTCCTGATCCTACCTTCTCAGGTCCCGAAGGAAGCTCTCGTCAAAAATTCCAATTGGAAAAAGGACATGGTCCAAGCTTTCGGAGACCCACTTATTCGGCCGGAATCCTCTAGGTACCGGCAAGACATTTCTCAGCCACATTTCCGTGTGGCTGATAGCACCTTCCCATCCCCTCCACTCTCGTCAGACACCAATCTGTCTCTCTGTACGTACCTTCCTCAGTGAAATGCTAACGTCACCTCGAACAAGGGCCAAGTTGCACCAGGACGGCGGACGGACGGGCTGCTGCTGAGTCCGCACCTGCGTACCCACTACTAGGTACGTACTAATAGTGAGGAGTAATATGTACACTAGGTATCTTGAAGCAAGCAAAAAGGTACCCAGCCCGGATCGGGCAGGAGGACCCTGCTGCTGCTGCTGCTGCTGCTGCCCAGGTCTCAACTCGCAGCATCCACAAGAAACGGTGGCAGTACCGGTAGTCGTTCGCCCGTGGGCAACGTGGCAATCAGATAAACATCACGTCAGTGAGCGAACCCGGAAGGTCGTGGAAAAAAAGGATGCTTCGTTCTCTCTCTCTCTCTCGCTCTCTGTCTTGCTTGAGCTTGACCGAACCTTGTTCTTGCCCTTAGTTCGAGACCATTGGATTGATGGATGGGTTCGAGCGCGCGCTCTGTTAGTTGGTAGGTCCAGCGCACACATTTCGCATTCGATAATCAATTGTGGCACACGACCCCTTGACCGACACCCCGGTCATACAACATCCAGCTATCCATTCGGATTCAGGGTTCACTCGATCGCCTCTTCTTGTCCGCCTTCTTTCCCCTCCCCCCCCCCCTCTCTCTCTCTCCGCTTCTCGCAACTCTGTGTTTACCGCTATTCTTCGGAACGAAAGGGGGGGAAATAAGAGACGAAAAAAAAAAAAAAAAAAAAAAAAAAAAAAGACCAAGTCCTGCTCCTCCCAAAATCAAAATCACGAAAAAGAAAAAATTAGAAAAGAGTAGGGGGGGAAGAAGACAGCACCATCATTCCAAAGTCCATGAGCACAAACCGAGACACGATACCAAAACGCTCGAGCTGGCCCTCCTCTGTCAACCACTAGTCTCCTCGGGCTCTTTCTTCTTTCCAACCTCCTACTCGGATCTACCAACTTTGTCCACGCCCCGAGCCTAAGTAGAACTCCGACAAGGTCCTCGAACTCGGCACGTTCCAAAATAGCTTCCCTTCCCCTTCTCTTTCCTGCGTCTTTCTCTTCCTTACACATTTCTTTCCCTTCTCTCCCCCCCGCATCCTGATGCCGCCGCCGCCCTCACTCGCATCACCGACGACCTCCCCACCATCAATGGCCGCGCAATCCGCCGCACAACCACTGCCCTACCTCGCAGCCTAGATGGCGCACGCCGCCTCCGACCATCATCATCGTCACAACCACCCACACAACGGCACACCGACCCTCCCGAACGGCTACCCGCCGCTGCCGCCCCCGAACACCGACGGCAGGCCCCCCTCCTACCTGTCCCTCGCGCCCGACCTCGCCCTCTCCTCCTCCCTCCTCGAGCCCCGCATCGCCGTCGTCCTCAATGTGCCCAAGCGGTGGCGCCCCTGGCTCTTCGCCTGCCGCCTGCTCTCCATCTTTCCGGCCATCTTCTGGGCCCTGCAGCCTGCCGTGACCCTGCTCGTTCAGATCATACCTGTCGCCGTGCCCGGCGGCAAGAAGGCCGTCGAGGCCGCCGCTGCCGCTTCGGG